CATAAAACTTTTCCTGGTGGGGAGACAAGGGAGGGGTATTTTGTTCCCACCATCATTTAGTCTATCCGGAAGGTGCCTTTGAGAAATTGCAGGGCGGGAATCAATGCATCTGAGAGAGATTTTTGTTTTGGTGGGGCAGAGCTCATTAGCTCATTTGGGGGGGAAAGGAGCCCAGAGGACATAGAAGGAAAAGGAAGGCAGACAGCAGAGGGTTTTTGCGAGATGGCAAACCTAGTCCGGGACTCCCCAGGGAAGGGAAAAAATTGGGAGGGCTGAGGAAGGCAGGACTTGGGATGCAGAAAACGATCTCACATATGGGAAGACATGAGGAATGCTACTTTGGGGACTGCAGGGAGAAGGGACGAGGGGGGAACCCCAAGGGGAGCATTTGGGAAGGGAGGGGGCATTTTCTATCAGCAACGTTTCCGCCCGGAGCTATTTATAAACAGAACCGGAAACGTCGCCCCTCCTCTCTTTTTATCCGGGAGGGATGGAGGTCATGCCCTCCGCTGTTTCCTGTACCCCAACTTACCTGCCGTAAGCACCCCTGGACTCCCATGGTAACTGCCATGCTGTTGTTGTTAAGGCTGTGGTTTAATGGGACTGGGCGGGGCCTGCGGGAGACCAGGCCCCCAAAGGGTCCCGCCCTCGGCCCGCCTCTGGCGACGCCCCGTTTGGCCGATCCCGGGAGGCGGTTTTCATTGGGGGGGGGGGGGAGGTTGCGTGGCTGGGATGCAGCTTTTGGGATCGGATTTATGTGGTAGAAGAGAGCACCGCTGAGCATGTGCAGAGTGTTGAGGCAGGGTTGATTTTGTGTGTGCTCCATCCCTGGAGGCTTTTAAGAAGAGACTGGACAGCTATTTTTCTAAAATGATACAGGGTCTCTTGCTTGAGCAGTGGGTTGAACTAAAAGACCTCCAGGGTTCTTTCCAACCCTGTTATTCTGCCTGGACAAGATCCTGGAGCTTTCCTGGCAGCATTTTTACAAGTGGTTTGCACTCACCTTCGGAGATTGATTCAAGGTCACCCAGCTGACTTCGTGTCTAAGGCAGCAGGATTAGAACTTTCAACTTTTCAGTTCCTAGCCTGGTGCCTTAACCACTACACCAGCATATAATGCAGTAGCTCAGTGAGATATCTCTTCCCAGGATATTTGTGCCTTGTTATGAAACAGCCGGCTGCACTTCCTCCCATATTCTGGAGAAAACATAAGATTTTGCTTTGGTACATCCACTTAATGCAATCCCCTTGGCTGAAAGACTACAAGTAGAATCAAAAATAGAATCAAAATAAATAAAAATCAAAACTAGCCTGCCTCCTATTGAAAAGAGGCAATTTGGTGGAGCACAAGTGGATAATGTCTCAGATACAGGAAAAAACAAAAAGGAGGCTATGGCTGGGAGTTGGGAAGTATCTTTGAGGGGTGCGTACGAGGTATTTTGGCAGGGATTGTTAATTGCTTGGTTTCGTTTACTTGCACACAAATCTTTCTTGGCTCCCACCCCTTCTACACAAGTCAAGTGGAGTGGGGGACACAGCCAATCACACCCAGGTCCACCACACACGCCCTTTAATGCAGCCAATGATATGATTCGGATTTACACCTTTCAAGGAGCACATGGGTTTGCTTCAGCCCATACGCATGCAGAGCAAACAACAGCTGCACTGGCACACAACAACTAGGTGAGGCACCAGCAAACTCTGTATCTCATCTGGTATGCATTGTTTGTTTAATGTTATAGCCTCTCCAAAAACGTAGGGCGTGCTGAAGAGGAAATGGGAAAACATCATATATCAAGTTTCCACCTAAAATCAATGTTGGCTGGAAAACATAAAAAGGAAGCCAAACCTATTATCTCTTGCTGGACTAAATAAACTATAAAATGCTATTACTATTATTATTATTTGTTAAAATGACCCAACTGATCATTGTTTTTTAAAAAAATGCTTCTGAGAATCTGTTGAATTATATGCCATTGAACAGATATGTGTGTTATGTCTACAGTCTTGGTCTGAATTCTACTTAATGTTGATTTGTTCAAAGTATCAATGATGAGTTGGGAAGCTAGTGCTTGATCAAAAACAACCAAATCTTCCACTGTCTTCCACCCCTCTCTCAAAAAAAGGGGGAGAATAATCACAACTGCACCCCTTCCTTAAAAGGTGGTTATACTTCAAAAGATTGTGATCCCCTATAAGGATCCTGATCACTTACACACATCTAAATGCTAAATTTCATATCTAAATGCTAAAAACACCATCCACTTCTCTTGCTTTATGTCCTTGAACAAATCATAACAAAACCCCAGCTTCATCGTTATGCAGTAAACGTTAACAACCTCACGTAACCATTATAATAAAACAGGAGGAAGACTAAAGGAATTAAATGCTTTTGAATGATTGATATGTTTATTTTAAAAAGGGAAGTTCTGTTTCCATTTGTTACATAACACTGGATACTCAAGTCAAATGAAAAATTGCCATGCAGGAGGGAACTTTCAAGAGAAATGGAGGAAGTTAGGCAAAGACTGTTCAGAAAACTGCCTCATCTAGACTCTCTCAGATGTCATTCATAGGGCTTTTACCATCATGAGCCCTGTGGAAAGAATCCCTGAAATATCCATTTATTTTCTCTTTTTAAAAAATTATTTGTATTTTGGATTGTGAATATCATTTGTAAGTTTTTTTGAGGGGAGCAAGTTTGGGATCTATAAGGTGGAATGATAATGACTGATTGACTGATTTGATTTAGATTGTACTTTATTTTAGGAGTTCCTGCCAAGTTTTCTCCCCTAAGAATGCTGTGAGGTATGTCTGAGAAATTTCCTGACATTTAGCACAATTAATCAGTGGAACAACTTGCCTCCAGTTGTGGGTTCTCCAACACTGGGGGTTTTTTAAGAAGAAACTGGGCAACCATTTGTCTGAAATGGTATAAGGTTTCTTGCTTGAGCAGGGGGCTGGACTAGAAGACCTCCAAGGTCCCTTCCAACTCTGTTATTCTGACCCAAAGTCACCCACTGAGCTTCCATGGCTGAAAGTGGACTACTGTATAATCTGGACCTCTTTAGTGTGCGTCCAACACCTTAAGCATTGTATCATTGTATCAGCTCTTCATTATAATAACAGAAGCAGTCATTTGTTTTAATCAACCTTAATATTCTTCCATCATGTTTTACTCTTAGTTTTACATCTTAATTATTTGTTCCCTGGAAGATTGATAAATCCAGCTTTTCCCCCTTAGCACAGGAATACAGCTGCTTTTGGATTTTACATAGAGATGGACATAGACTTTTTAATCTATGGAACTATTCTTTTTTTACAACAGGTCTCCCAGTTTATTCTTGATTTTTTACTTTCCAAAGTCTTTTTTGGATAATTCAAAACCGTGGCAAGAGGCTGTATGGCAGAAAGTCTTGTTAAATACTAAAACCCAGCCAATTGTGGAACAGTCTCACAACCTATGTTGGCTTATGGGGTTTACTGTTAGATCTGAGATAACTGAGAGACAACTCTAGATACATCAAAATATCATACAATTCATATTCCCAGCATGTTTTTTGAGGCCATGTCTTAAGAAGTTTGCAAATCCAATCACTTATGATTCTGGGTAGGGCTGTCAATCTCAAGGAAAATGAGATATCTTCCAGAGGTTTTGGACAGTCACTTCCATGGACTTTGCCATTGCTCATATTGGCTGGGCTGATGGGAAATAAATTCTAAAAATCCATATATTGCCTATTAGGTCAAGGGATTCAACTCCTCCCCAAATTGAATATGTAAGCCAATTTCACAGGCCTCCCTGGAGGATTAAAGAAAAGGACCAAGATTAATATTTTTGGAAAAAGACAGGAACAAAATGTTGATGGGAATAATATTTCTTTTGTTATATTTGCCTTGGTTGGCCAGAACCTGCCAAGGCAAATATAGGCCCAACTTTGTCTACAGATAAACAATGGCTGATAATACATTTCAGAGTCAGGGAATCAAAACTTGCCAGTTAAACATTTTCATGCTTAACAAAGCAAGCTTAAAAAAAAAAAAACCAACAAATTTAGCCTGAAGGTCTAGTTCACCTTAGGCACAACTGTGTGAAAAACAGGTCTGTGCTGTTATCAAAGACTTAATTTGGAATGTTCACTGGAGCTGAACTCGGAATGTATTTTTATTGTTAAGGTCAGGAATTATGCAGTTTCTGTTCACAATGCACTTATTTGAATTTGGGGGGGAGGATGGTTGCAGTCCCTTTATCTGACGGGCATCACCAAGGAAAAGACTGATGAAAAGTAACAAAGATGGGATTTTAAATGATGTTGACAAATTTCTTCTCCAAGTTCAGGATGAACAATTCTGAACTATGTTAATGCTTTGTGCCTCAGGAGCAGCTCATAAGGTAAGGCAGTGAGGTTGAAGATAACATAATATTGATATTTTCAGCCCAATTCTTAGGTTTGGGAAGGAGGGAGGGAATTGACTAAAAACAGATTATTTATACTCCCAAAGTTTTGATTAATTTTATTTTCTTTCTTTTTTTAACCTTCTCCCAAAGTCACACTACCAACAATTGGCATTTTGCTGTTGAATTTTGGTAGTGCAGAGGGGCAAAATGGAATTAGAGGCTGAATAAGTACACAAGTTGGCAATCCTTTTAGCTCCATAGTCTTCAGGAGTCTGAAGTGGTATTGATTTCCCCTCATTGCAATGTAATTTGGGTGGGTTATGGCATTCACACATGTGCACTTCTTTTCCCTCGCCTCAGGTAACCAAATGCAAACTGCAGTGAAATGTTGGCGTGCAGGAAGCAGATCATTTGGCCTTAAGATTTCCTACTGGACATGCTGTCATGCCAATTAATGGGAAAAGTGGGTGGGCTCCTGATTTTGGCATGCCAGGCCTTTCCTTGCTGAGGACCAGCTGTTCTGCCAATGAATTATTGCTGCCTACCACACAAGGAAGTGCAAGGCAGAGAGCTTTCTGGAGTGAGAAAAAGGGAAAGCTTCTTCATTTTTGTGATAGGTTAGAATTTATTAAAACCTCAAAAGGTCCCAGAGCATTTACGATTACAGTATTTTTTACTACCACAAATCAATGCGGCAGTGGAACTGTTCCACTTCAATTTCACAAAGCCAGCTGAGATTGGAGCTCTAGCAGATCTCCCAACTTGACTTTGAAATTTGCCAAAAATGTCCCATCTCAGAAGACTCTTGCTAGCTGTCAAAACCAGAACTGGGGTTTTGGTGGCTCTTCCTCCCATAGCCAAGTTCAGCTCCACCACTGAGGAAAAGGTTGATCCCGGTGCAAAACGTAGCATCAGAAGCGAGGTAGAGAGCAGCTTTTGCACACTCAGCCGGAGTTCCCATCCGTCCCATAAGCTGCAAACACAACAGAGAAGGAGGAAAATCTGGACTCTTTATCCAAGGAGGTATATACAATGCCCTGATACATTTACTTTTACTCATGAAATTTGGGCCCTTATTGAAGAGAAAACAAAGGTTTCAGAGCTCAAAGTTATATGATGAGGGTTTTTTTATAGTTCAATAACTAGAACAGGGATCCCAAACCACAGTCTGGGTGAGGAATTCTGGGAGTTGAAGTTCACAAGTCATAAAAGGGCCAAGTTTGAAGACCTCTGTGCTAGAGTGTACCTGCTAAGTACATAAACCAGAAGAGTCGATCATCACCTTTATTTCCAAGCATGCCAAAGTCCCACAAGAATGTTTAAAAAGATAAAAATGGGTGGCAGCAGCCTGTAATTTGGTTTGGAAGCATGTTCTCCCACCCATTAAAACCAAAAACAAATGGGTTGATGTTTTTCTATTTTCCATCTGTGTGGAAGTTGGAGAAAGGCAGGTGGATCAGCTTTTGTTTCTTTGTTCTATGATGGCACAGCAGGCCATCAATACCCCAATCAATAATTAAAAAGCCACACACAATCAGGCACCATATAAATACTATGCATAGAATAACCCAAAGCACACAGTGAGAGAGAAGTACCTTCTGGATGGGCTCCAGCACAAGTTCTGAAAGCTCAGAAGATTAAACATCTGGTTCCGGTGATTGACCCAGATTGGATCCTGCAGCTTTGTATAGTTTTATATTTTTATGTGGCTTTTGATAAATTAGTGTTTTGTGATTCGCCTTTCGCTCTGGAAAAATTTCAAATTAAGGCCCACTTGGGGAAGTGCTGCAAACATGCCCCCTAAATTAGCTCCTCAACCTAACATGTATGAGGACCCCCAAGTTAGAAAGTCAGGCTAAGAGTGAGTTCCATCTGGCTCACCAGAAGGACTTCCAAAGCTTCTGCATGACAAGGAAAGCAACTAAGCTAAGCAGATAATATATGCAGGTATCCTTAATTTGTACAATGCAAGGATATTGCTATTCTTGCTATAAAAGCCTTGGTTGTATTTTCACAATGTTTATATATGGACTTCTGAAACATTATCTAAATTGCTCAATCTTACAGTGCCCATTTCCCCATAAAGCACTTGCCTGAGCCTCTTTGCCTTCCTTGATCATTGCCTCTGCATTGGCTGCCTGGCTCGCAAGCTTTTCCCATCCAGGAGTCCAAATATTGCTGGGTGAGATGCTGGAATTCCAATGGTTAGAGAGTGTTAAGGAGAAAACATTGTGGAAGAGCAACTAAATTGATCCGTTTTTATGTAAGAAGTGCTTCACAATTCCGTATTCTTATTTTCATAAATGTAATCTCGTTAAGTTAAATCAAAACTGCCTTACATATATGCTAATGCAGAGGTTGGCAACATAGTACAAATGAACACCAGGGCATCTATCACCTCCAAAACTTCCACTCTGCAAATTCTGGCAACACAGCACAAACAAATATCAGGGCAAAACTGCCACCTTGCAAATCAACTCTTTTCCAAAAGTGAAAAATATTTAAGAATATCACGGGCCTGCTAAAAATATCATGGAGTGCTATGAATCGTATATTAGAATGATAAAATACCAAGGAGAATTCTGTATGTATTTATTTGGAAGCAAATTCTACTGATTTACTTTCAAGTAGCTTAGCTCTGCCCCTCCAATAAACTGGGGCTCCTTGGCTGATGTTTTAAAAGCTAAATTGGCAACCAGGAAATCCTTGTAAACTGGAATGGGGTAGTTAAAAAAGAAATACAGGTAGTCCTTAACCTACAACCACAATTGAGCCCAAAATTTCTGTTGTTAAGCTAGCAGTTGCTAAGTGATTTTTTGCACCATTTTATGATCTTTCTTGCCATGGTTGTTAAGTGAATCACTGCAGTTGTTAAGTTAGTAACAGAATTTGGCTTCTCCATTGACTTTGCTTGTCAGAAGATCACAAAACGTGATCACATGACCCCAAGACACTGCAACTGTCATAAATATGAGTCAGTTAACAAATACCTGAATTTTGATCACGTGACCGTGAGGATGCTGCAATGGTCGTAAGTTTGTTTAGTGACCGTTCAAAGTTACCACAACATGAAAAAAGTGACTCGCGACCATTTTTCAAAAACAATCATAAGTCACTTTTTTCATGTCATTGTAACTTTGAACAGTCACTAAACAAACTATTGTTAAGTCAAGCACTACCTATAAGGGTAGGCAACTTTGGCTCTTTTATGACTCGTGGACTTCAACTCCCAGAATTCCCGAGCCAGCATAGCTGGCTCGGGAATTCTGGGAGTTGAAGTCTACAAGTCATAAAAGAGCCAAGGTTGCCTACCCAAGAATACATTCTAGAAAAACAAACTAGCAAACCACTTCTGTAATCTTTCCAGAAAAGGATGTCCATTGTTTAAAACACAGTCCATCTAATTTCTCATTCTCTTTCCTAACTCTAACACATGTTCTATCACCTCTCTCTGTGTGTGTCTCTCCTATGTCTGTCCATCCATCCGTTCCAACAGGCAGGATGGAACTAGTGCCTAAATGGAACTCTTTTCTATGTGGCTTTTCTGTTAAGGAATTAATCCCCACTGAATACGGTGGCAATTTCAGACTTATCTATGAATTCAAGCTTGATTAGACCTCCAGTAGATGATTGAAGTGGGGGGGGGGAAACAACTACCTGTTTTTCTAGCAAAAGGCTGCATCTGCTTGAAGTAATCTATTGAGAACGAAAGGTCTGAAGCGAAGGGCTGCACAAAATCATCAGGGGCCGCATTTGACTCGAGAGTTGCCGATTGCCCATCCCAGCAGGAAAAAAAAGACTCTTCTCTAATGTTGTTTTTTTTGGGGGGGGGGAATCATTTATTAAATTCCAGAACTGATATTGAACCAGGATCTTTATCACAAGATATTTTGCAAAGGGCCACATTTGCTAACCATGCAGGTCAATCAATATTACCTGTTGACTCTAACGCCATATTGGCTTTCATCTATAGCCATAGCTTTAGTCATCGCAATCACAGCACCCTGCAAATTGAAAGCATTGAGAAGTTATAAAGGGAATCAGCATCTTGACAATTTCTCTCCTGCCTATCAGGCCATCTTTTCACATCATTAGCTTCCATCTACAGTACAACCTCCACCAAAGCAGGATATGACAGAAAAGTTGATAAATCTCCCTCCCTCCCTCCCTCCCTCTCTCTCTCTCTCTCTCTCTCCCTCCCTCTCCCTCTCGCTCCCTCCCTCCATCCATCCATCCACTATTAATGATCTTCAAATAATCTCAGGAAACCCTGACCCTGACACTCACTTGCTGTTAAGCTGAAAGTAAGAATCCTTCAGTGAATTAAGTGGCTCTGTTCCTTAAAATGAATTTAGTTATTAAATTCTAAGGCAATTTAACCTTCCTGGAATTGGAGAGTTTTTTTATCTTGCCTTTAGGCAAAAAAGCTCCCCCACACCACAACATAGAAAGCACTTCTAGCAGTTTAAACAAAATTACCAAAATCAGAGAAATATCTCGAATTGGAGCCTACAGTCCTCAGGAGCAGCTTGATACAGAGAAATGAGCAAAAATTATTTTCACTGGCAGAGATTTTATGACTTGGCAATCTAGATGAGAAAATGGACTTACAAAACCGGAACATTTTGATCTGGATTACCTTGGTTGCCACATATGGTACAGCTAACCTTTGTCCAAAATGGCCAACGATGCTCGCAATGTTAATGATGTTTCCTTTTGTTTTCCGGAGATAGGGCAGTGCAAACTGTTACGGTCAAAATGAAGAGAAATGGAGAATTACAATAAGAAAGCATCATGATCTGATCCCCTGGCAAGTAAAGTCAATGGAGAAGCCAGATTCACTTAGCAACTGTGGCAAGAAAGGCTGTAAAACGGGGCAAAAGTCACTTAACTGTCTCACTTAGCAACAGAAATTTTGGTCTCAATTGTGGTTAATTAAGTCGGGGACTAACTGTACTGTGTCCATATGACCACACAGTCCAAAGGAAAGAGCAGCCATAAAAGGAAGTAGACTGTTCCTGCCCCCGTGATTTGCCCATTTCCTCACTAGGGAGAACGTAGATAAGAATCTAGGCAAGAAGAAAGAAGATCCCATCAGGAATTCTGTACTGCTGTCTCTCCAAAACTCTGCACCAATTCTTGATTTACAACTGTAAGGTAAGCAATGAGATGTAGGCCATACCAGCGTGGTAAAAAGCCACCTTGTATGCATATGTTGTGCTCTTAGTGTATGTAGAAATATATGTATATGAAAAGCTACCTTGGCCATTAAGAAACAGCTGACAACATTGAGGTCCATGAGATTGCGGAATTCTTGTGCAGACACATCATCGATTCTTTGATTGGGGGGATCTGTTTGGCAGAGAAAGAGAGAAAGGATATTGCATAGATCTATACAGATTGCCTTCCTGCCCACTGGTGGATGTATTTTGCTTTTCTAGCACTGTAAAGTTTTTTATTCCAAATTCATTCCAAAAACCACACCTCACCCAGATCAATTTGTACACCAATTAAAAGTCAAATAAAAGTCAATGTTATCCTTGCTGGTTCTCTTTCTTGTTTCTTCAAAGTGATGACTGAGGAGAACCAAATCAAGTCTCCACTTGACTAGAGCTCACTGGTTAATTACATTCTCTCTCTATCCATCTATCTCACAGGGTTGCTGTGGAGATAAAATTGGAAAGACTTTCACAGAGTGATGGAAATTGTAGCAAGGGAGTTTCAGGTTGAGGAAAGCATTTTGCTCATAAAGATCAACCAAAGAGAGAAGCCACCTAGAACTAAGGAGAAACTTCCTGACAGTTAGAACAATTAATCAGTGGAATAACCTGCCTCCAGAAGCGGTGAATGCTCCAACACTGGAAGTTTTTAAGAAGAGATTGGACAGCCATTTGTCTGAAATGGTATAGGGTTTCCTGCCTGAGCAGGGGGTTGGACTAGATGACCTCCAAGGTCCCTTCCATTAGTAGTAGTAGTAGTAGTAGTAGTAGTAGTAGTAGTAGTAGTAGTAGTAGTAGATCAACAGATGCCTTTACAGAAATCTACAGACACTCAGTATGATAAAAGCTTCAAACAGAAACAATGGACAAAACCATCAAAATAAATAAGAATGAGGCTGGAGGTTCATTCTCCGAGCTTGTGGGTTGGTTTCCAAATATTTTGTTATCAATCTAGGTAACATCTTCAGCAGAGTTTAGGGGGTGTTAATGTCAGTGCTCCTCTGTTTATAAGGGCTCTGTGTGGTCAGTAGGAATTATGATAGGGAGAACACGTCAGGTGAGGTGAGGGTCTTGTGATGGGTCTTGTGACCTCCCCATCACAAGACCTACTGACCACATGAACAGAGGAACACTGACACTGACATCACCTGAACTCCCCTGAAGATATTGTCTAGCCTAATAACAAAACATTTGGAAACCCACTCACAAGCTGAGAGAATGAACCTCCACCCTCATCCTCCACTTGAGCTATGGATATTCGCTACCATCACATAAATAAGAATATTGTTGGGATTAGTGGGATGAGTAACAACATTTTTAAATGGTTAACAAGACAAGCCCAATCATTTTGGAAATGACTCACGCCCTCCAGCATTGTTCACCAGGCAATCTAGTTGTCCATACTGTTCTATGGTCACCGAAACCAACCTCTGTAGAGAAGGTACAGGGTAAAAAGAGAAAGATTTCAGGGATGTTAGGAATTGTGGTGGCACAGTGGTTAGAATGCAGTATTGCAGCCTGACTCTGTCCACTGCCTACAGTTCGTTCCTCACCGGCTCAAGGTTGACTCAGCCTTCCACCCTTCCGAGTTTGGTAAAATGAGGACCTGGATTGTAGGGGGCAATATGCTGACTCTGTAAACTACCTAGAGAGGGCTGTAAAGCACTATGAAAGGGTATATAAGTCAAAGTGCTATTGCTATTGCTACGTGGAAGAGAATCAAATTATGTGGTTCTTTAGGAGCTGCAACCTTTTTAAACAGCCAAGTCCAATCATAAACTTTTGTTATCAGTATGAAAAATGTGGACAGTTGGTAGCTACTGCCTGAGTCATAGAGGAAGGTAGATTTAAGGCAATTTTCCAAGGATGTGGCCTGTGAAACTGTGATACAGCCATCTTTCTGAAGCTAAGCTAAGTACTAATACGTCTACTTAGTATTTGGATGGGAACCATGTGGAAAATCTGAGATGATAATGGCAGGTGGATATGTAAGCAGCTAAGTAGGAATCACAAACATATATTTGTACAAAGTAAAGGCTAAAGAGAGATGAAGTAGGCATATTCAACCAATGAGAATGGGAAAGATTTGGCATTTTACCTATTCCTTCATTGCTGTTATTCAGAGGAATGTTGTCCCCAAAGTTCTCTATAGCTTATGAATTGCTTTACAGACACTGGTTACCACTTGTTCTGCACATTTACTCAAGAATCAGGAAAGTGTAGATACATATGACCCTTTGAGCTGGCCCTGTGCTAGGTTTCCACACCGCACAAAATCATAAGTTTCTTTTATTTGTTGAACAAGCTAGATAAGGCCTCTTTGCTCAGAATACAAAGCCAGAAGCCACAATTTACAAACCTGACTGGCTGAGTTTGCATTTCATGCTAAATCAAAACCAAACTTGTCACATGAAGAGTGTTATGTCCTGAGCCTTGCAAGCAGGCTCGGGGCATTGCAGGTGGTCCCGGGCAGGTGCAAGCTGCCCGGGACCAGACAGGCTGTCGCCAGTACGTGTGCGCATGCGCGGGTGCTGGCGCGCCAAAAGTAGCAGATTGACCCGGGAAAGGCCTATAAAAGGAGGCCGAGAGTTTTAGGTGTTGCCGCCATATTCCAATGTAAGCTGAACTGAAGAATAAAGGTTTCCTGAGAACTACAACTGCTTCTCGTGTCTTACCATTTCACGACGGACTTAACACTGGCGACGAGGATGGGATCACCTTACATCAAAGAAGAAAAGGTGTAAAGCTTACCCGAGTGAGTCCGGAGCGGCAGGAACGGCGTTGACTCGGCAGCTACCTGCCAATCCAGTGCGCATTTGGGGGTAGGCTGGCTGATAGACCCTTCCTGATTCGAAATGGCAAAGATTGGAAGGCTTTTGGAATTCGACGTCTCACATCCAGAGAGGTGGGAGTCCTACGTAGCCAGGGTGGAAAAGTACCTCAAAGTGAACCAGGTGAGGGAAGAGAGCTTGAAGGCTGCCACCCTGCTGTGCATTTGCGGTCAAGACGCATTCGAAATCGCTGAGAACCTCACAGCACCTGTTCCTTTAGAGTCTGTCAGCTACACAGATCTAAAGAAGTTATTGAAGGAGCACTTCCAGCCTAAGATGTCCGTCATCGCGTGGCGCCACACCTTCGAGCAGAGGGATCAACGACCCAGAGAATCGGCCAAGGAGTACATCGCCGCACTGAGGAAAGCCGCCAAACATTGCGAGTTCAAGGACCTCGAGGAACGACTGAAGACCGGTTTGTATGCGGGCTAAGGCATCGAGAGTTGCAACAGAGACTTTTCGCCAAGGAGGACTTGTCTTTCCAAGATGCCTTGAGAGAGGTCACCGCAGAAGAAGCAGCGGGCGGCGCCATCAAGAACATGCGGCCGATCAGAAACAGTCCAGATGCTGCGTCCGTGCACCAGGAAGAAGTCCAAAGAAACTCCGAGGAGGATCCGGACGAGGAAGTGGACCGTCTCCACCCCACAAAGGAAGGAAAACCAAGAGGAAGCTCTTCAGCTCTCCCCAAGTGCATCGGTTGTGAAGGTCGCCACAAGAGAGCCGACTGCAAGTTCCGCTCCGCTATCTGCCGGGCGTGCGGAAAACAAGGACACATTGCAGCTGTGTGCCTGGGCCGTCAGAAGGTTCAACCTCAGGAAGAATTGCACCTGAAAGGTACCAGGGTCCCCAGCCAGAATAGGGTGGGGTTTTGCGCTTCGCGAAGAAGCATCTACAGGACAGGCACACACAAGCCCATTAAGAAAAAGCTGTCACTTAAGGTGAAGCTACAAGGGGTTCTATTAACTATGGAACTGGACACGGGGTCTGCACTTTTAATCATTTCTATGCACACATTTAGGAAGATTTGTTCCGGCAGCGGAACCCAGGCCAAGTTGAGGCCTTCTGACATTGTGCTAACGGACTTTCAAAACTCCAGAGGGTGTGTTAAGGGGGAGGCCACCCTTAACGTACAGTATAAGGATTTTGAGGGTCCACTAGACCTAATAGTAGTAGAGGGTGAACAAACGAGTCTCATAGGACTCAAGTGGTTTGAGGCCTTGGGGATACACGTCACAGGGCTCAACAGCCTACAAACACTCGACCTACAGGAAGTCTGCAAAGAATTTGCAGACGTTTTCAGCCCCCAGCTGGGCATATTCAAAGGACCCCCTGTGTCGTTAAAACTAGACCCCACGCTCACTCCCATTAGAATTAAAGCAAGAAGGGTCCCTTTTGCTTTAAAGAGTAAAATTGACACTGAATTGGATAAACTGATCCAACAAGGAATTCTAGAACCAGTTGACTCCAGTCCATGGGAGACCCCCATTGTCACGCCTCTTAAGGCAAATGGGGACATTCGCATCTGTGCTGATTACAAATGCACTCTAAATAAGGCATGGCAGCAACATGCCTATCCTGTTCCTGTGGTCAGTCATATCCTGGCCTCCCTCAAGGGGGGGCGCGTTTTTGCAAAGCTTGACCTAGCTCAAGCATATCAACAGCTGCCTGTTGATGATGACGCTGCTATAGCTCAGACTATTGTGACCCACAGAGGGGCTTTCAAGGTAAAGAGACTTCAATTTGGAGTAAATGTCGCTCCTGGGATTTTCCAAAGCGTAATGGAAAACACACTACGGGGTATACCTGGGGTTTGCCCCTATTTTGATGATGTCTTAATTGCAGGAGACTCCACACACATTCTAGCTGAAAGGCTAAGGGCTGTCCTATTAAGGTTCAGAAAAACGGGACTCAAACTCAAGAAGGACAAATGTAAAATTGGGGTGCCTTCTACTGAGTTTCTGGGGTTCAAAATTGATGCTGCTGGGATTCATCCTGCTGAATCCAAACTAAAAGCCATTATGCAAGCCCCTAGGCCAAAGTCTAAGGCCGAACTACAGGCTTTTCTGGGCCTTCTGAATTTCTACAATTCCTTTCTTCCACACAAGGCTAGTGTAGCTGAGCCTCTTCACAGGCTACTAGATAAACAGGCAGTGTGGCAGTGGTCACAAACACATGAGGCTAGTTTCAATGAGGTCAAGGCCTTGCTCACTTCTAACAGTGTACTTGCTCACTTCAATGAGTCCCTTCCTGTGTGCATCGCTTGTGATGCTTCCCCTTATGGGGTGGGTGCTGTACTGAGCCACCTCAGGGCTGATGGAACTCAGGTTCCTGTTGCATATTACTCCAGGACATTGTCTTCAGCTGAGCGCAACTATGCTCAAATAGACAGGGAAGCCTTAGCTGTTGTTGCTGGAATTAAAAAATTCCATGATTTTTTATATGGTAGGCATTTCACAGTCTTCACTGACCATAAGCCTTTGTTGGGACTGTTTACCACACGTAAACAAACTCCCCAAATCATCTCCCCCAGGATGCTCAGGTGATCTATCTTTTTGTCTGCATATGATTTTTCCCTACTTCACAAGCCTGGGAAGGAAATGGGCCATGCTGATGGCCTCAGTAGATTACCCCTGCCGGTAATAGAGGCTGACCCCGCGCCAGCCATCAATATTCTCTCCATTCAAGCCTTGCCCGAGTCCCCCCTGAATGCCAGGGATGTAGCCGCTGAATCAGGCACAGATCACACACTTTCACGTGTCCTTTCTTGGGTTTTGTCTGGATGGCCTGAGCACTGTCCTAGTCCTGAGTTTCAGAGTTTCTGGTCTAAACGGAACGAGTTGTCCACCTCTCAGGGTTGTCTGCTTTGGGGAAGCAGAGTTGTCATTCCCACCTCAATGAGGACTAGGGTCTTAGATTCCCTCCACGAGGGTCATCCTGGCATTGTACGAATGAAGGCTCTTGCACGCAGCCACTTGTGGTGGCCAGGTGTAGACAAAGACATAGAAGCTAAGGTGCATGCTTGCCACCTTTGTCAACGCTCACGCCCTGAAATGCCCCAAGCTCCTGTGCATAGATGGGAGGAAACACAGTCTCCATGGTCTAGGGTGCACATTGACTACGCTGGGCCCTTTCAGGGTCAATTCTTCTTGGTCCTCGTTGACAGCCATTCAAAATGGCTTGAGGTTGTACCTGTCTCTTCCACCACCACTGCAAAGACTATTCAGGTACTGAGGGGGATTTTTGCTGCACACGGGCTCCCAGACGTCATTGTGTCTGACAACGGCCCTCAATTCACTTCCTCCGAATTCCAAGCTTTCTTGCAGGCTAACATGATTCGTCATGCCACTTCTGCACCTTTCCACCCATCCACCAATGGTATGGCTGAACGCATGGTTCGCATCACCAAGGACGCCTTGAAGAGGCTCACCTACGGGGACTGGCATCAGAGATTGGCTGACTTCCTCCTTTCTTATCGCACCACACCATCCACTTCTACAGGGAGGAGCCCAGCTGAACTTCGTTGGGGGTGCAAACTGACTACCAAGCTTGACCGGTTGCATCGGACAGACTGCCTCCTTCTGTCTCACACCCCAGGGCACCTAGGCAACTACTTGTGGGTGCCCCGGTTTGGACTCGTAATTACGGGCCTGGTCATACATGGGTCCCCGCATCTATATCCAGGGTCACAGGTCCTCTATCCTACGAGGTATCCCTGGACAACGGTCATGTCCTGCATCGGCACATTGACCAACTTCGCCCTAGACGGGACCTTCCCGCTGAGACTCCTGGGTCTTTTCCAGGGGGAGGGGGAGCCCTTTGAGCAAAGGGAGGGGCATGGAATGCTTCCCTTTACCAATGAGGGAGCCACAAACGGCCCATCCCAAAATTCCGCGAGTGCTCCAAACAGGAATTCTAGGAGCTTAACCAGTTATCAGGCATTCACGCCTACTCCAGCCAGGGAGTCACCCCGGGGGCATGATCACTTCTCACCCGTATCACTCAGTACTCCAGTCAGAGTGAATACCCGGGAGCATCCCAACAATCCATTCCCTGCAAGAGAGCTGGCACACACTCCTCCTAGTTGGCCTGACTTCAACCCTGTCCCTAGAAGGGGGCAAACACACAGGGAGGTGGTCAAGGAACCAAATCCAGACTACAACACCTCTGACTACACTCAGGGGACAACTGAGTTTTGGGACAGTACTGAAACCCACACAAGCCCGGACACAGAATGGGATTCAGGGGATAGACAGCCTCCTGACAGGTCTTGGATGGACCTAGGAGGTTCTACAGAAACGCCCAACAGTGACAGTCACTTAGAAGGGCCAGAGAGCCTACAGCTAGGCGGGACAACCAGGTCATACACTGGAAGAAGCCCTGGCCTGACGAGCCCGGTGGGCAAGCAAGCAGGCCAGGCATTGGAGCACAGTCCTTGGGAGTCACCAAGGCATAACAAGGGAAACAGGCACACATCACCCCTCAGTCAGGGGGTACCTGTCAGACACCCAGAGCTTAGGAGGTCACAGAGAGCAAGGAAATCTCCTAAGTACTTAGAGGATTACATAACACTATTGGCTAAACAGAGCCAGTAGGAAGGTAGAAACATTAAGGCAATGGAAACGGGGGGAACAGAGCATTGTACTAAGAGTGGGTTGTGTATTATTATGGCATTGGTCGTAGTTTTAGCCCGGGGGAAAGGGGTGTTATGTCCTGAGCCTTGCAAGCAGGCTCGGGGCATTGCAGGCGGTCCCGGACCAGACAGGCTGTCGCCAGTACGTGTGCGCATGCGCGGGTGCTGGCGCGCCAAAAGTAGCAGATTGACCCGGGAAAGGCCTATAAAAGGAGGCCGAGGGTTTTAGGCGTTGCCGCCATATTCCAACGTAAGCTGAACTGAAGAATAAAGGTTTCCTGAGAACTACAACTGCTTCTCGTGTCTTACCATTTCGCGACGGACTCAACAAAGAGTGTGCAATGTGTGAATCTATTGGTTGCCTTTCAACTATTTTCAACTCAGCATTATATCCAAAACGAAGAATAGGCTGAAGAATCTTGGTCAGGGTTTCCCAACCTTGGCAACTTTAACATGCTTGGACTTCATCTCCCAAGATTCCCCAATCAACCATGCTGGCTGAGGAATTCTGGGAGTTAAAGTCTTCACTTCCTTAAAATTGCCAAGGTTGGGAAACCCTAGATTTGGTGCATCGGGGAGATTGGAGAGCAATGCTTTGACAAGGTGAACCAGGAGCATTGGACTTCAATGTGAGAAGTTCCACTGGGGAAGCTATGAGGAAAATACAGAAGTTCATGAAAACCGTAAGAATATCATGGGCCTGCTAAACCATTTTTCTTCTCTCAGTTCCAGCCTACCTGCATGTCTGCTTCACAGAGGACATCACAGACCACAAAGCGGCCTTCTCCTGATCCACCTTCTGCAAGTTCCCTCTCAAGAACTTTTCCTTTTCCCTCTGCAAAGAGATGCAAAGTAGATTTAGTGCTGCCATAGGGAACTGTAAGGGAAGGATAACCATTTTCTCCCAAATTATTTATACCTGGAGTCTTTAGCTATCTCTCTAGTTCCAGCCATGGTCCAAGTGAAGCTAACAGATATGCCACTCACACCTGAGAAATTGATTTCCACCAACCCCTGAAAAAATTTTCATAGCAGGATTTGAAAACATGAGGCCCAGTAGCTTCCATTATTTTAAAAAAAATCTGCTTTTAGAATACAGTGGAAACATAGCTGGTTAATCAATTGGAATTGGATGGTTACTACAGATTTGAATAATTAAATAAAAATAGGAATTAGGGTATTTCCATCTTGCCCCAAGATCTACTCATGAGTAGCATTCTCAAATACAGCCCATTGTGAAAAGGCTTGTCCATTTTAATGGCAATTTACTAAGTTCATCATTGACAAGACACGTTGCCAGTCTGGTAAGTATAATTGTTGTGAGTTTGTTTTTTAGCCAAGAAAATCTGCAGCCAAAGAGTTCTACCTGCTATTAGGTCTAGCCCAGCATTATGGGGTTGGAAAGACTATTTAAGCTATCAAGGCAAATTACCTATTTTATTTAACCAAGGAAGGAATTTAAATTTCAGGAAGAGGAATAGAAAGGCTGAGAGCTAACTCAGTCAGTTAGTACTAAGTATGGATATTTTTCTTTCTTTCTTTCTTTCTTTCTTTCTTTCTTTCTTTCTTTCTTTCTTTCTTTCTCTTTCTTTCTCTCTTTGTTTCTTTGTTTTTTTTCTTTCTAAGTAAGATAGATGAGCTTACTTTATCGTTACATTGTGTGAATTCAGAAACAATTTGATTCATTTTTTTAAAAAAACAACTCCCTTTATACGACTCTGCAGTCCCTTAATGCGGGATAGAGTCAGGGCGATTGGATAGAGCTGAATGTTTACTGGCTGGATGCCCTTCCTGACACCATGTGGCGTTCCCAGCAGGTATTTTTTTCCGCCACTAACTAGGAATGAATTCTCAACCTTCCAAGTGGCTTCACCACTAAGCCACTATACTACAGTTTGATTCAAGAACAAAATAAAATAGGTAACCAGAACCCAAGCCAAAGTTAGGTTAGTGAGCCTTAGATGATAAGTTTTTTTACAGAATAGTTTACAGAATAACAGAGTTGGAAGGGACCTTGTAGATCAGGCATATAAACTTGCGATGTCACATGACATTGTACGACATATCATGACTTTTTCCCCATTGCCGGCAATGGGGTGGACGCGGTTTTGGCGTGACACATCTGGCCTGTGGGCCAGCAGTTTGACATGCCTATTGTAGGTCATCTAGTCCAACCCCTTGCTCAAGCAGGAGCCCTTATACTCTGTGTGTGATGAATCCAGCATCCCTCAAATTGCTGCTCAATTAAAAAGGTCATTATTATATATTTTGTTTTCCTTAGGAAAGATCACACATCCCATTTTCCTAAATAAAATTCATCTCCCCAGAAAAATTTAAAATTGCCTTTGTAGCAAGTGGGCATGCTAGTGATTTAGTGAGTGTTTGATTTTTCTGGCCAGAAAATATTGATTTTTCTCATTGCTTTCATTTTTTTGCAAAGATAGATTGCTGAATTTTTACTTCTAGCAAAACTCCAAGAAGTAGGTACTTACTTTCTTTCATCTAAAAATTAGAATGTGTCTTACAGCACCACGTGAGGATGATGGATTTTATTAAAAGACACGTGCTGCCATGAACTATATCAGTGACGGCGAACCTTTTAGAAACTGAGTGCCCAAAAACTGGCCCCGCCCCCACTCCACCACCACTCCGCCCTGCCCCCGCTCTGCCCTCATCCCCTGCCCCGCCTGCCCACAGGACCATTCACCGCCTCCAGGGCCCACCGATCGCCCAGGCAGCCCAGAAGCGCTATGGTGGCCACACCCTCTGCCCGCACCCTGCAGCATCAACTGCATGATGGGGTGTGAGGGCAGAGTCTTGTCTACATTGTCTGGATGCCATGTCCTTGGCTGCGCTGCTCCATGTGGGCCACCCTCGAGGGCAACTCTCCTTCAGGGGGGCTGCTGGAGAGGAGGGGGTCGCGGGGTGAGGCAAGGCTGGGGCAACGGCATCTGTGCCCACAGAGAGAGCTCCGAGTGCCGCCTCTGGCACCCATGCCATAGGTTCGCCACCACTGAACTATATGTTCATCTTTGCTTCATCTACATATTATTTTTCCTTAGAGAGTTGTCAACTTCCTGTTTGTCCAAACCTGGTACAGGTAGTCCTTTATGACAGTTCACTTTATGACCGTTCAAAGTTACAATCGCACTGAAAAATGTGACTTATGAACGTTTTTCACACTTATGACCTTTGCAGCATCCCCATGATCATGTGATCAAAATTCAGACGCTTGGCAACCAGTTCATGTTTAGGATCTCTGCTCTGTCCCAAGGTCATGTGATCCCTTTTGCGAACTTCTGACAAGCCAAGTCAATTGGGAAGCCCGATTCACTTAACAACCGGGTTACTATCTTATCAACTGCAGTGATTCACTTAACAACTGTGACAAGAAAGTTTGTAAAATGGGGCAAAACTCACTTAATAAATGTCTCATTTAACAAAAGAAACTTGGTGCTCAATTGTGGTCATAAGTCGAGGACTACCTGTATTTCCTTTTAGTCTGTCACTCTGATTAACTTGGATGGGAGCAGGATCATAAATCATCCAGTATAAAGCGAGGATAGTGAAAGAGCTGCTATGCCTCACCTTCTGATGCTGGTGCACAGAAGACCACTTTGGCTCCATGATGAACTGGAAAGGAAAAGAAACAGAGTGGGAGATGCTCAAGACAAACTCCAGTGACTTTGTTCACCACACAATTTGATGAGCAATACAGGAAGGGCATATAGCAAATTACAGGTAAGTTTTTGACTGACAACCATTTGTTTAGTGACCATTCGAAGTTACATCAGCACTGAAAACAGTGACTTGTGTCTAGTCCTCACACTTATGACTATCAGAGCATTCCCATGGTCATATGATTGAAATTTGGGTGCTTGGCAACCAGCACGTATTTACGATGGTTCCAGCATCCTGGGAATTATGTGATCACCATTTACAATCTTACCACTGGTTTCCAACAAGCAAAGTCAATAGGGGAAGCTGGATTTGCTTAATAAAAATATCTGGTTTACATAACAACTGCAGTGATTTGCTTACCGACCACTGGAAAAAAATTTGTAAAATTGGGCGTGACTCAATAATCATCTTCCTTAGGAACAAAAATTCTGATCCCAATTGTTGACTTAAATTAAGGACTACCTGTATTATATTGGTTCCTTTCACCCAATAACAGTTTATGAATATAGAAACTACGATATGTCAGATCAGAGTTTGTCAATCTTGGCAACGTTTAAAATATGTGAATTCCAACCCCCAGAATTCTGGAAGTTGAAGTTCATACATCTTAAAGTTGCTAAGGTTGACTATTGGTCCATTAGATTAGATTATTAGACTATTGGTCTATTAAATCAATATGACTTGGGGCAATTGGCTATAGTTTGAAAAGGCATATGTTTCATTGCCTCCCACGTAAGTGGCAGCACCCAACTGATCTTCACTGATCTTGAAAAATAAGCGGAGTAAGGTCTGGTGATTACTTTGTTGGGAGATCACTAGACTTTGGGCTAAACTAGGGTATTGAAAAAATATCCTGGAAAAATATCACAAGTCACTTCTGGATTGATAACATAAAACTGCAAATCATGTCCGTTAGTCAATAGGAGTCAAGATTGACTCAATAGAAACTTTATATGTTTGATTAAATTAAACTAATCCAATGATCATTAATTTCAAGCCCTTCCCAGCAACAAAGATGATTAGGGAACTGGAGGCTAAAACATATAAGGAACAGTTGCTGGAATTGGATATGTCTTGTTTAATGAAGAGAAGGACGAGGGGGGACATGATAGCAATGTTCCAATATCTCAGGGTCTGCCACAAAGAAGAGGGAGTCAAGCTATTCTCCACAGCCCCTGAAGGCAGGACAAGAAGCAATGGATGGGAACTAATCAAAGAGAGAAGCAACCTAGAACTAAGGAGAAACTTCCTGACAGTTAGAACAATTAATCAGTGGAACAACCTGCTTCCAGAAGCTGTGAATGCTCCAATACTGGAAGTTTTAAAGAAGAGATTGGACAGGCATTTGTCCGAAATGGTATAGGGTTTCCTGCCTGAGCAGGGGGTTGGACTAGATGACCTCCAAGGTCCCTTCCAACTTTATTGTTGTTGTTATTAAATATTAAGTATTGTAATTTAGTAGCAATTTGGGGAGGGCCCTTGGGAGTTGCATCTAAAATATTAAGGGAGACTGCACAATGTGTACTCTTCTTTTAAACCTTTGTAATCTGCTAGGAATTCTAAAGTTTATTACTCTCCCTATCCTATATTTAATTTTGTTCTTCGCTGTTTGGTCTCATTTTTTAAACCAAGGTGTTTATAATCATTACATTGTATATTGTTTAACATTGGGTGATTAAACAGCTGCTTTCTAAGTTTCTATAAACTGGCATGGGGGAGAATACTTATTTTTAAAGGTAGAACAAATAATTTTAATTCATTTTCAGGCTATGGTGAAAAACTGGGAATGGAAACTGAATTGAAAGAAATACCAAAGCTAATTCATTAAAATTTCTACCCTTGAAATATGAAAAAGTTTGAAAATTCAGGTAGTCCTTGATTTACAACAGTTCATTTAGTGACCATTCAAAATTACAATGGCACTGAAAAAAATGACTCATGACCATTTTTCAAACTTACAACCATTGCAGTATGCCCATGGTCACATGATCAAAATTCAGATGCTTGGCAACTGACTCATATTTATGACGGTGGCAGTGTCCCGGCATCATGTGATCACTTTTTGTGATCTTCTCCAAACAAAGTCAATAGGGAAGTCAGATTTGCTTAACAACTGTGTTACTAACTTAATAACTACAGTGATTCACTTAACAACTGTAGCAAGAAAGATCGTAAAATGGGGCAAAATTCACTTATCAAACATCTCGGAAATTTTGGGCTCAGTTGTGGTCTTAAATTGAGGAGTACCTGTACCAGTGGTGGGATTCAGCCAGTTCGCATCTCTTCGGTAGAACCGGTAGCTAATTTTTTGTTGCCCAGGCCCATAATGGAATTCCAGAAGCACCATCCACACAGAGAACCAGTTGTTCACATATTTGAATCCCCCCACTGACCTGTATTATAAATATCCACATATAGAGAGAGTCTTCATCAATTTCTGAACAGAAATTCAGTTTTCTGAATTTATTTTGTTCCTCATTTGGCAGCATGGACAGAATCTATGTGTGTGTGTGTGTGCATGCCCATCAGACAGACAGGATGTTGTTTCAATCTGTTTCCTGGACGGAAGGGGCTTTCTGACACCACAGGCAGAATTTGTTCTGCTAGTGAAGCGTTTCTCAGCCCTGGCAAATTTTAGCTGTGTGGACTTCAACTCCCAGAATTCCCCAGCTGACTGATTGCGCAACACTGTATACTGACTAGTAGTTAATCTTTGAACAGAGGGGCTCATGCTAAAAAAGTCTGATATCAGGAACTGATAATTGGGAAAAATACACAGTCCAAAGTCCTGCAGTTTACACAATGGTTGGAATCACACAAAACACTAAACCCTTTGATTACAACACAGAGCCATGTTTCAGCCGAAAAAGATTCTTTCATTTTCTTTAATAGCATCTTCAAGGCCAATGAATTTATATATGCTAAGCCTCTAATTAATGGCAATGGTGTTCAGGTGTAGTCCCCGATAGCGGATGCTGCTGGGGAGGGGGAAGGAATGGGAGTTCCTTGAATTTAAACAATCGTGACTCTGGGCACATACCGAGTTCACCTCTTTCACTCCAAATTTCGTCTACTTTAGACCCTCTCCAGTTCAACACTGTAACTTTGAGGATAAAGTTTCATGCCAGACGCTGCACTGAAGGTCCAAAGACTTTTGGGGGGTGGGGTGTAAACTTTCCTGCTCCTCTTCCCACTCCTCACTCCATCTCCCTAATCTCACCAAATTCTCTCACGATGCCTTCGCCAATGCCGCTGGTCCCTCCCGTTACTATGACGACCTTGTCCGGATACCGCTGCCCACTTGCCATTCCGGCTGCGATCGAAATCAACCCCGGTTTCCAAGTGATCCAGCTAATTTTCGGACACAAAGTTTCAGCCTCCTGTGGTTTCGACACTTACGCATGCTCCTTCGCCAGCGGCATGCTGGGAAATTGAGTCTTTTTGTTCTCAGCTGTTTTCATTAGGGGGGAAAAACCCGTCATAATTCACTCCTGCAGTGATTTTATTTATTTCCTCATTTATGTACAATCATAGATCAAGGTACAGAGTTAAAATATGAAAATTAAAAGTATGCTTACTCTATCAAAGAGAAAGATTAGTGGGGATATGATAACCATCTTCCAGTACTTATGGGGCTGTCATAGAGAAGAGGAGATTGATTTATTCTCCAAGGCACCAGAGGGCAGGACAAGAAGTAATGGGTGGGCTGTTTGTTTTAACTTTGGAAATATTGCTGATTAAAATTCGAGAATCACAGCAAATAAAAGGAACAGAAGTCAATAAAAAAGAATATAAATTAAGAGCCTTTGCAGATGACTTGGTGGTTACCTTATCACAACCTATTCATTCTGTAGTAGAGTTACTACAATTGATACATCAATATGGACGGGTTTCAGGTTTTAAAATTAACAATAATAAGACTAAAATATTACCCAAAAATATGACCAATCTTGATAAGCAGACTTTGGTTAATTTGACAGATTTTGAGGTCGTTGATAAGGTAAAATATTTGGGGGTTATTTTATCTGTCTCTAATGCAAAACTGTATAAAAATAATTATGAAAAGCTGTGGGTCAAGATACAAAAGAGAGTTGAAAAATTGGGAGAAGTTGTAATTATCTCTTCTGGGAAGAATTGCGGCGATTAAAATGAATGTTCTGCCAAAGTTTCTTTTTTTATTTCAAATGATACCTATTTTAAAGAATGAGGTTAATCTAAATGAATGGCAGAAAGGTATCAATAAATTTATCTGGGCAGGGAAAAAACCAAGAGTAAAACTTAAAATTATACAAGATACTCGTGAGAGAGGTGGACTCAAGGTACCGAACTTGAAATTGTATTATGATGCTGTGGTTTTAACATTAATTAGTGATTGGATTAACTTAACAAATGTAGAAATACTCCTCTTGGAGGGTTGGGATTTACTTTTTGGATGGCATGCCTATTTAATTTTTAATAAAAAGGTTGACAGGGTTTTTAAATCTCATATTATAAGGATTTCTTTACTTTGGGTCTGGAGGAAATATTATAGAACTGATTCTAAAATTCCATTATGGGCCATATCATGGCATGCGATAGAGGGGATAAGGAGAGGAGTTAAGATGGATAGTGTTTCTTATGCACAATTACTCAGATGGGATGGTAAAAATTGGCAGTTAAAATCTTTGGAAGATTTAGCACAAGAAAATATTATATACTCATGGTTTCAGTACAGACAAATTGTGGATAGATGGAAGGTAGATTGTAATGTGGGTTTGCTTAGAGAAGATGAGAATTTTTTTTAAACAAATAAAAGATCAAAGACGAACTCACATTAAGAGAATTTATGGGGTGTTAGTAGAATTGGATTCAGAAGCAGAATTAGTTAAAGAACGTATGATTAAATGGGCACAAAATTTTGGTGAACCAGTTTTATTAGATACTTGGGAAACTATTTGGGTGAGAAATGTTAAATTTACACAAGCACAGAATTTAAGGGAGAATTTTTATAAAATGTTTTACAGATGGCACCTTGATCCACAAAAAATATCTCGTATGTATCCTGACTTACAGCCTAAATGTTGGAGATGTGGATGTTTGGATGCTACTTATTATCATATCTGGTGGTCGTGTAAAAATATAAAAGCCTTTTGGATTAAGATATGGTGGAATATTCGAAGAATTTTTAGAAGGAGGTAAAATTTACCCCACAATTGTTTTTGTTAGGTATCGTTATTGATTGTGATACTAAGGAGATTACATTGATGTTAAATTTAATTACAGCCGCAAGGTTGTTAGTAGAGCAATGTTGGAAGAAGGAATCTTTGCCTACTTTGCAAGAGTGGTTTCTCAAAGTTTCTTATTTGGCGGAAATGGCAAAGATTTCGGCTTTCTTGAAGGATCAATCGCAAGAGAAGTATGTTGCGGTATGGAGAAAATGGATAGATTTTATACAACATAAGTTGGATATAAAAATATTACTTAGTTTTTTAACAATTTATATTTAAAATGGAATATTTTGTTGTTTTTTTTCTCTTTTTTTGTTCTTCTTTTTTCCTTTTTTTCTTTCTTTTTTATTCTTTTCTTTTTTAAACATTTATTTTTTGTATTCATGTTTTTTTATATATATACTATTGTTAATTATTTTATAATTTTTCTAATTAATGTATTTAGATTTTTAACTAATGTTAAGATTCATTTATGGTTTATATCTTTTTTTAAGACTTCTTGGTGAAATTTTAATTAAGCCTATATTCAGCTCTGGGAAGGTCGGGGGAGGGAATGGGAGAGTTGGGGAGGTTGGGGGGAAGGTTGTTTTGTTTTTGTAAAATTTTAAAAATTTAATAAAAATTATCTTGGAAAAAAAAAAAAGAAGTAATGGGTGGAAGCTAAAGAGAGATCCAATCTAGAAGTAAGGCGAAATTGTGAGTGCTCCATCACTGGGGATTTTAAAAAATAGATTGGACAGTCATTTGGCTGGGATATATAAAGTCTCCTGCCTCAAGCAAGTGATTAGACTAGAAGACTAGATTCTATGTTCTATGTTTGCTGGGGAATTCTGGGAGTTGAAGTCCACACATTTTAAAGTTGGCACAATCGAGAAACGCTGCTCTAGACTAGACTTTTATAACAGTTTTATGAAACTGGAGTTTGATGGACTACGGTTAACCACTGCAGGACATGTGGTCCACACTTAGGGCCTTCCAAAAGATGCTGCTAAATTGGAATCTTTGTTATAGCAGAGAAATCTTATTAAATAAATGGGAAACAATGAGGACTGCATTAATTTCATCTTAATGAAACTCACATGAAAATGGAGTGGACTGAAGTTTAATTTTGCCCTGACAATACCTATCTTTTGGAATATGGTCTCCAGCATTTCATTCAAGACTGAGTGCTGCCACTAACTCTCCAAAAGTTGTATCTTCCTTGTGGCTGATAGGATGAAACTCAATTACATCAAATATCAATGAAAAGGAATGAAACAAAGAGAGGAAGCTTCTTACTTGTACTTACCTGGTAAAGATATGTAATAATAATAATAATAATAATAATAATAATAATAATAATAATAATAATAATAATAATAATAATAATAGTAATATAATAATAGTTGTTGACAGACTTTATCTACCAAGGCAAATAGGTGAGCGTGGAATGCTACAATTCCATCAGATGGTTGGAGAGAAAAAATGGCTTTGGAAGAATATCTGAAGAACAATGATGAAGATGCACTGAAATTAGTATATCAGGAAGGCTTACTGACTACTGCAGAGACCAAACTGGCCTACAAGAAAGACCAAATGAAGAACAGAATAGAGGCATGGGAAGACAAAGCACTACATGGCCAATACATTAAAAAAATAGCTGGGAAAGCAGATATTAACAAGACCTGGCAATGGCTAAGAGCAGGAAAATTCTGGCTGCATAAGACCAAGCCTTAAGGACAAATGCATATAAAGTCAAAATTGAGAAGACAGCAACAGACAGGAAGTGCCACCTATGCAAAGAAGCTGAAGAAACAGTGGACCACCTGGTAAGCTGTTGCAAGAAGATTGCACAGACTGACTACAAGCAGCGGCATGACAAAGTAGCAACAATGGTGCATTGGAAGATCTGCAAAAAATATCATTTGCCTGTAAGCAAGAACTGGTAGGATCATAAAATAGAGAAAGTCATAGAAAATGATAAAATTAAACTGCTCTGGGACTTCAGAATTCAAACAGACAAGCACCTGCAACATAACACCCCAGACTTAACAATTGTCGATAAGAAAGACAAAAAAGTCTGGATAGTGGACGTGGCAGTGCCTGGAGACAGCAGAATAGATGAGAAAGAACTGGAGAAGATAACAAAATACAAAGACCTAATAGAAATAGAAAGACTGTGGTAAAAGCAAGCAAGGGTAGTACCAATAGTCATAGGTGCCTTGGGTGCAATCCCAAAACAACTGGAGTGCCACTTGAACACCATTGGCATTGACAAATTCGCTATTAGTCAATTGCAAAAGGCAATTACTAGGAACTGCTTCCATCCTGCGACGATATCTGTAATACCATCAAACATCCACATCTGCCTATCCCAGGTCCTGGGTAAGGACTCGATAGGTAAATCAATAATAATAATAATAATAATAATAATAATAATAATAATAATAATAATAATAATAATAATAATAATAATGAGAAGAAGAAGAAGAAGAAGAAGAAGAAGAAGAAGAAGAAGAAGAAGAAGAAGAAGAAGAAGAAGAAGAAGAAGAAGAAGAAGAAGAAGAAGAAGAAGAAAGTTGGAAGGGACCTTGGAGGTCATCTAATCCACTCAGGCAGGAAACCCTATACCATTTCGGACAAATGGCTGTCCAGTCTCTTCTTAAAAACTTCCGGTGTTGGAGCATTCACCACTCCTGGAGGCAGGTTGTTCCACTGGTTAATTGTTCTAACTGTCAGGAAGTTTCTCCTTAGTTCTAGGATGCTTCTCTCCTTGATTAGTTTCCATCCATTGCTTCTTGTCCTGCCTTCAGGCGCTTTGGAAAATAACTTCACTCCCTCTTCTTTGTGGCAGCCCCTGAGATATTGGAACACTACTATGATGTCCCCCCTTGTCCTTCTCTTCGTTAAACAAGACATATCCAATTCCAGCAGCCGTTCTTTATATGCTTTAGCTTCCAGTTCCCTAATCATCTTTGTTGCTCTTCTCTGTACTCTTTCTAGAGTCCCAACATCTTTTTTACATTGCGGTGACCAAAACTGCATGCAATATTCCAAATGTGGCCTCACCAAGGCCTTGTAAAGTGCTATTAACACTTCACGTGATCTTGATTCTGTCCCTCTATTAATGCAGCCTAGCACTGAGTTGGTCTTTTTGGCAGCTGCAGCACACTGCTGGCTCATATTTGTCCACTAGGACTCTGAGGTCCCTCTCACAGTTACTACTATTGAGCAAGGTACTCCCTATACTATACCTGTGCATTTGGTTTTTCTTGCCTAAATGTAGAATCTTGCATTTTTCAGCATTGAATTTCATTTTGTTAGATAGTGCTCAGTGTTTAAGTCTGTCCATATCCTACTGTATCCTAAGCCTGTCTTCTGGAGTGTTGGCTATTCCTGCCAGCTTGGTATTGTCTGCAAATTTGATGAGTTCCCCATCTATCCCCTTGTCCAAATCGTTGATGAAGATGTTGAAGAGCACTGGGCCCAGAACAGAGCCCTGGGGCACCCCACTACACACTTCCCTCCATGTAGATGTGGTTCCATTGAGGAACCCTCATTTCCCCTCTCATACCCCTTGGCCTTCATCTCAAGCTTCAGCCTCCTCACTAAATTGTTTCCGTCATGATGGAAACCAGAGGAAGGATTGGCTGGTATCCTATTTCCCATCTCCATTTTGTTGCAATTGGGCTCGTGAAAGGCTGAAATAACCATGATAATTTTCTTCAGCATTGTTTCCAGTGGCTCTAAAAGGTTTTGGGTGTATTCAGAGATGAGATGAGATGTAGGTCGGTAAGTTTACAGGTAGTCCTTGACTTATGACCTCAACTGAGCCCAAAATTTCTGTTGCTAAGCAAGATTGGGGAACTCTGCTCTACAGCGATTCCTCTTCCAATCCTTTTGGCTAATAGTTGACCCACAAAACTCTAGAAGCAGGCAAATGCCTACAGGACATATTATCCTGAGTTCCTGCTGGAAAAATATGTTTCAATATTCTCTGAATTGCAGAACCACATTTTGGCAAATTCATTCCATTTTCAGATCGATTTTCTCAAGTAATGTTCCACTCGCAGAACTAGGAAGCCAAAGGAGATAGTTGGAACTCTGCTTCTGGATTATCACTGTCTAAACACAATATAATTTGCAGATAGAACATTGCTTTTTTTTAAAAAGGCACATGCAAAAGACTCAAGGAAAGAATTAGGAATAGAATATTCCAGCCCCCTGCTCAAGCAGGAGAACCTATACCATTTCAGGTAAGTGACTGTCTAGCTTCTTCTTAAAAAGAGAATGGGATGAATTGGCCAAAATGTCATTGTTTCATTGCTTCTAATACATGTTCCCCCAAGATCCAATTATTCTTATTTCTTTTGTTTCTTGTAAGCATATGTGTATCTATATATAAAAGGGAAATTGGGTGTAAAGTATTCATTATTATTTGGAAGTAGCTGGGTGCTATAATGCCAAGACGCATTTTCTTAGATCTATACATTGAAAAAATCTTTACATTCTAAAGCGAACTTATAAAGAACAGATAGACAAATTATTTGGAGCATAAAACAGTGTAGCTAAATTAAATGTGGAAAGGAAGTCCCTCGCTAGGCATTGAAGTTACTGATTTCACTTACTTGGAATGTAGAACAAGTTTTCAGATGTTAGTTTTGAAATCTTTCCTGCTCCAAAGTGAATGACTGGCTGAGGAATTCTGGGAGTTGAAGTCCACAAGTCATAAAAGGGCCAAGTTTGAAGACCCCTGTCCTAATCTGTCAGCACCACTCAATGAACAGGCAAAGGCTCAGAAATATATTATGTTAAACCGTTTATTGATTATACAAATTGGAATAATTCACACATGGAAAGGCTTAGTCTGAGGAAGTTCCCGCAGTAGCTGGCACATTCTCCTTAAATACAGTAGAAAGATTCTAATTCTTAAGAGGGAATTATAATTCTGCATGGAAAGACAGGTGCTTCAACAGAGCAAGGAGCTGTTACAACAGGAGTCTTTGACTGCTTTGCTCAGATTCTTGAGTTGTGTTCCAGGATACAATTTTGAGTGCTGTTTGCTTAACCTCTTAACAAAGTCTGCATAAGACTCTCTTAGACAAGGACAAATTTCGCAGCTAATCTTACCTCAGCAATGTGGCTAAGTAGGCCTACCAAATCTGTTGGGATTGTTAGAAAGACTTTAAGGCTGCCAGATAAGTCCAGACAAACACAAGCTGGCAGTCAAGAATTAGGATTTCTGCTTCTCTGTGCTTATCTCTACTGGTTGCCCACATGTTGTAGCCTAGGCTTAGTATTTTAGTATTTTTTTTTCTTCCTATTTGATTCTTGAAGATTGTTTAGAAAGTCCCTGCAGTTTTCTTGGCAAGTTTTTTTCCAGAAATGGTTTGACACTGCCTTTTTTGAACTGAGAGAAACTGACTGGCCCAAGGTCACCTAGTTGGCTTTGTGCTAAGGCAGGGCTAGAACTCCACAGACTTCTGGTTTCTACCCTGATTCTTTAACCAGTACACCAAACTGGCACACACATTATGGTTTAATTTTCATTATGTTTAATTCTCCAGGTAGCTTCCAAGTAAGCAAATCCTTCATCCAGGCTTCTACATTTCAGACACCAGAAATGGAAGAAAATGTCCATCGTCAATAATTCCTACCACCTTTTTTTCTTCAGCTTTTCTAGCTAGCTCTTTTTGTCATTTATTTCTGAAATCAATCCAATTCCAATGTATTCTCACTTCCCACACTTCTCATCACTTTCCTGTTCTGCTACCTTACTAAACTCCCTACCTTTGTTTGCTACGGCTCTAGGCAAAATGGCATATACATTCTGATCAATAACTATGGGATGTGTTCCTGCACAGGCCACCAACTGTTTGTACTGGGAATAAGTCAGCCAGTCTTGAGTTGCATTCAAAGCATAAATCACTGCCTTTGTTTTAAGAGGCACCAATTTTCATGAGAAACATTCCTTGTGCTTGCTAGGACAGATCCAAATGTTTTTTCAACACAAGCCATTGCCCAATCATTCTCCCCACACAATCACACTATTCTTTTTCTTCCCAATTGGTGATAAAACTCCCAGTCACAGATCTTAGTGGCAATTTCCTTGCTATATTTTCTTCTTCTTATGCAAGTACAGCTGCTTCTTGAGTCATCTAGGAGAGCTTGAATTTCCATAGGGCTTTCCAATAAAATCATCCTTATCTCTGAAACTCATCCCTATTTACAGGAAAAAAAGGCATCTATTTACAACCCAAAAGGCAGCCATAAGAAACCAAATTATGAAAGGGAATCAGCAGTCAGATGCAATTGCTGAAAAAAACCTCTGTGTTCTTACATTGACGCACACACCCTCGGAATGCTCAAATATTTTCTATTCTTATATGAAAAAGGTTTTTTTTCCCCAAATTGCAATCTGGGGGTTTGAATGTCTCAAAAATGCACTGAAACATAGGTGCTTGCAAGATGGAATGAGAAATTGCCCCTCTGAAGCCAGAAATGTCTGTAAGCAAAAGTGAAATGCAAGTTCTAGTCCCACCTTAAGCATGAATGCTGGCTGGGTGACTTTGGGACAATAACTAGGAGATGGTAAGTTCTAGTCCCACTTTCGGCATGAAACCCAGCTGGGTGACTTTGGGACAATAACTCTCTCTCAGCCCAACTCACCTTATAGAATTATTGTTGTGGGGAAAATAGGATGAGGAAGAAGTATTAGTTATGTTTGTCATCTTGAATTATTTATAAAAATAATAAAAGGTGGGATTTATCAAATAATAAAGGTGGGAATATTTTAAAAAATGCAGGAAGTATTAGTATCATCCAGCTAGGATATACAGTATGATATGTCTTCGGAATGGCTTTGTTGAATATGAACAAGTATTTGCAGAGACCAATAGTCAGGGATATCCATTAATGTCTACCTTTTTTTATCAAGCACTTGTACATCTTTAAGCATGGTAATCTTACGTTTTTAGGAGTATCCCACTACAAATAGGCATCTGTACCTGGATAGCTTAGCTTTTTTTTCCCCTTAAAGGGAAAACACTTCCTACTACTGTCTCCTTAGGCAATCTTGGTGGATTTTGACCTCCTAAACATCAAGAGCATTCTCTGCCATTACTAAATTTCTTGAACATGTATAGATTTGAAAATTGTGTGCTTCCCAACCCAGTACGTAAATCTGTAGACCAGTGTTTCTCAACTTTGGCAACTTTAAGATACATTGAAATCCACATATTTTAAAGCCATCAGGGTTGAGAAACACTGCTATAGACCAAGATCATGGAAATCATCATGATTTATTTCGGGGAGTGTCTAGGATTGCAGCAACAATGAAAGCTAAAAAAACAAAACATGATTTTTCTAGTCTGGATGAGTTGGGGAGAAAGTAACCGAAAAAAGTTGGTTGAGAAATATAGATGATATGCTGGAGATGTTCATATGCAGGAGATATGGTGTTTCTGATCTAAAAGGCCAAGGTTTTAACTGTTCTTGTTTTGAATATTTCTAGGGTTTAGACCAGGCAACCATCTCCAGGGGCTTGTCCCTATTCTTTTATCACACTTTAAATCTTCTCTTCATCGCTGCCCACTTCATTTAAAAACTTGATTTTATCAAGGTGACCTTGACAGGCTGTGTCACTTCTCCAAAATATGCTGCCACTTGTTGAGGCTCACCTCTCCAATGGATGCATCTACCATTGTTTAGGTTCGGATTGCCAACTAGCTTTTGATCAGCTGCCCACATCTCTAAGTCCCATACAGGAGGCAGAACCCAATTGGCCGTTCTGCAAAAACATGTGTTCCAATTGGTCGGCTGAGGCACAGGTTCCTCCCAATGAGGACCGCTGAATAGGAATGGCTCCTCTCTGGCTGAGTCAAACAGGTGAGGTGTTGGCTGTGGAGTCTTCATTTTGGATGACAACCAACTTTCCTTGCAAGGACAAGGCAAGGACCAGTCAGAAGCTTCTGAGGCACTCGACAATGGTTTGGTTGCTTGGGGTGAAGCTGGCATCTGATTTGCAACTTTAGAGTTGGTGCTGCAGCTGGGATTCTGAGCAACTGTTTGATTGTGTCCAGTTGTTGTGTTGCTAGAGTCTAGCTTTATGCAGGTGCCATCCCCAGGAAAATAGTGATGGTTCAAGCCATCTTGTGAGGCACGCAAATCATCTAGGGAGGAGCGAGAACTGGTCCTTCCTGGGGAGAAAAGGACACAAACTATATTAGGAAACCTTGATCTACCAAGCACTCAAGCTCTGTGGACAATAGGCATAATCACTTGACATATAAGATGGTCCATAGTTTCAATAGGAGGATAACAAGAGGCCAACTTTGGCTGATCTGGAAGCTATAGCAGAGTCAGCTCTGGTTAGTGAGTGGTGGGGGAGATGACCAGAGAATGATAAGGCAATTGACTAAAGTAACTAATGATAATGAATTGTGGCTACCAGATGAGGAGCCCTCAGCACAATATTGTGAACTATTGCCCCATTCTGGGACGTAGCAGAGCCTTGGCTGCAAGGCCCCAAAACACCAAATTCAATTCTGATTGGGAAGCTACAAGACAGCCACAAATCATATTTTTACATTTCTAACAAGCTGTACAGAAATTTGGGGGGCTATTTGTGGCTTCATTTTTAAAGTTTGGCACATAGCTTTAATTAAAAATGTCCTGAAGACATATATTGAAAAGGAGAGCAAAAATAAATGACAAAAAGCAGAAAGGATTAAACTAATCCTGGTCAACTGTGAATATTCCCTCGGGTTGCAGGCACGAGTGTGTGTTTTTATTATATTATGTAAGCAGTGATCAGTTTTCATCTGGCATCTTGGATGGGCTGGATATGCAAGTCAGTCTCGGGGTTCAACAAACAAGCGAATGGGAGGTCCATGCAATGATAAGGGCGTAGTGCAGGGGTGTTCAAACTTGGCCCTTTTATGACTTGTGGACTACAACTACAAGTCCACAAGTCATAAAAGGACCAAATTTGAAGACCCTTGACGTAGTGAAACAAAAATGCAGCCTCTGTAACCTTGGCTTGAACATCCAGGTAATCCTTGACTTACAACCATCCATTTAGTGACCCTTTGAAGTTACAATGGCACTGAAAACTGACATGATTAGTCCTTGCACTTATGACGGTAGCAGCATTTCCAGGATCACATGATCAAAATTTGAGTGCTTGGCAACTGAAATGTATTTCCAAGAGTTGCAGCATCCCAGGGTCACATGATCACCATTTGCTCCTGACAAATAAAGTAAATGGGGGAGAGTGGATTTGCTTACGATCCACATGATTCATTTAACAAACTGAAGTGATTCACTTAACAACCATACAGTATCAAAATAAGTCATAAAACCAGGCATGACTCATGACTCACTTAAGATGCTTGGCAATGGAAATGCTAGTCCCAATTCTGGTTGTTAAGTCAAGGACTACCTGTACAGGGCTCCATGGCTTAAGCGGAGTGTTAATTCATTGGCATTTATTCAACTCTTCATACCTAGACATGCTGAAAGTAGGCTACTGGCTTCTGTTTGTAAAGCACAGAGACCAACCTATTATGTGGGAACCCACTAACGAAGGCACCACGTGGCATCCTAGATAATACTTAAACTACAGATACTCAACGTACAACCACAATTGACTTTAAAATTTATGTTGCTAAGTGACGAATTTGTTAAGTGAGTTTTGCCCCATTTTACGACCTTTCTTGCCACAGTTGTTAAGTGAATCACTGTAGTTGTTAATTTTGTAACACGGTTGTTAAATGAATCTGGTTTCCTCCATTGACTTCGCTTATCAGAAGGTCGCAAAAGGGGATCCCGTGATCCTGGGACACTGCAAACCGTCATAAATCTGAATCAGTTGTCAAGCATCCCAATATAAATCAATGACTGTGGGGAATGCTGCAATGGTCATAAGTGTGTAAAAGTCACTTTTTTCAATTAAAACAGAGCTGGAAGGGACCTTAGAGGTCTTCTAGTCCAACCTCCCTGCTCAAGCAGGAGATCCTATTTCAGATAGATGGCTCTCCAGTCCTTTCCTAAAAATCATCAGTGATGAAGCACCCACAGCTTCAGAAGGCAAGCTGTTGCACTGGTTAATTGTTCTCACTGTTAGGAAGTTTCTCCTTAATTCCAGGTTGTTTTTCTCCTTAATTAGTTTCCATCCATTTTTTCTTGTCTTGCCTGCTTTGGAAAATAAGTTGACCCCCCTCTTTACTTTGTGGCAGTCCCTCAAATACTGGAATACTGCTATCATGTCCCCTCCAGTCCTACTTTTCTCTAGGCTGGCCAAACCCAATTCCTGCAACTGTCGTTATAACTTCAAATGATCATTAAGTGAACTGTTGTAAGTCGAGGACAATCTGTATATTGAAAGAGATACATGCCAGACTGGATAGCTGAAAAAAAAAACAACACTTTCCCAAGAAGGCAGCAATGAATTACTTCTGTATCGTTGCCAGGAAAACATCACAGATCTGTCCAAGTAATCACCAGAAGCTGACTCAAGGGAGCCTTTGCTTTTTTGGTCAAGAACACATAAGTGAAATAGTTTTATTATGTCCTCTGCAGCTAACAAAGTCAGTATTGTGTACAGGATTTTGGATAGGAAAACAGATTGACCAGGTACACAGAGTCTTTAGTCTTCATACATAGAGCCTGTCTATAAGGGAGATGGATGGTTAAGAAGTTTGATGTATAAATAAATAGTCCACAGTTAGCAATCATTCATTCAGCCAGCATTCAAAATTATAAAGGCCTTTCAGGGTGGTCCTCAAGTTGTGCTGAGGTAACAGGGCCACTGTCGTATGAGCGTGACGCCAAACGTTTGGGAACTGGCTTGCAATTATTATGATTGCAGTGTCTCCATGTGATAGTCATTTGTGATCTTCACTGACAAAGTCAATGGGGGAAGCAACGGGAGGTTATCAATGGGGATGAGGTGACATCACACCTAATAATTACAGGATTCACCTTAGGTCAGAGGTAGGCAACCTTGGCTCTTTTATGACTTGTGGACTTCAACTCCCAGAATTCCTGAGCCAGCTATGCTGAAGTCCACAAGTCATAAAAGAGCCAAGGTTGCCTACCCGTCTTAGGTGAATTATGACTGCAATTGGAATTGCTGTCATAAATCACATGATGTCATACTTTACAACTGTATCACTTAGTGATGGAATTCCCAGTCCCAATTACCGTTGTTAACTGAGGACTATCTGCACCTGTTTGGAAGTGACTGGCAGGAAAAGAAAACATATGAGATTATATCCAAATAAAACACAAAGGAAAATTATGTGAAACTTAAGGCTCCTGGGCTATATCTAAGACAATGATGAGGTTCTGACAACGCCTTGAAAAACGTGTGAATGAGGCATACCAGTGTCCAGAGGTTGTAGAACAATATTTGAATACAAGTGGTCCTTGACTTACAACAACTCATTTAGTGGCCGTTCAAAGTTACAATGGCACTGAAAAAAGTGACTTATGACCATTTTTCACCCTTACGGCCTTTGCAGCATCCCCATGGCCACATGATCCAAATTCAGACGCTTGGCAATGGATTCATATTTATGACGGCTGCAGAGGTCTGGGGTCACGCGATCCCCCTTTTGTGATCTTTTTATAAACAGTCAATGGGGAAACCCGATTCACTTAACCATGTTATTAACTTAATAACTGCAGTGATTCACTTAACAACTGTGGCAAGAAAGGTCGTAAAATGGGGCAAAACTTACTTAACGAATCTTTCACTTAGCAATAGAAATGTTGGGCTCAATTACGGTCGTAAGTCAAGGACTACCTGTATTACCTGAACAAGGCATTTGCTTTCAGGCAAATAAAAGGCAGAACGAGACAACCCAAGAGGCAATGCAGAATTAAGGAGGCTGTGAGTTGTACATTTTGGATCAGGTTTTGAAAAAAAAAACCCAAATGTAACCTCCGGGGACGATGCCTATCGGGGATATGAGTCGGTATTTTACCCACTTAGGTGCATCACCACCCTAACATGGACCTATTTGGGAAAAGGGGGGGGGATCAAAAGGCAGGACATACATGCTTGGGACAAATAAAGAAAGGCAGTGGCCTATCCTAGTACCTGTGACGAGTTTTCCCCGCTGCGAAGCCTCTGTCGCCAGCGCATGGGAGAGCTGGATTACTCGCTGTCGCTCCCACTCAGGGGTTGGGGGGCACCGAGGAGGCTTGACTTCCCCAATTTGCACTCCCTCCTTGGGTGATGACTCAGGGGGGGCATTGGGGAGGGGCTGAAGGAGAGATTAAACGATGGGAGGGGAACGTGGCGTGAGCAACACAGATCTAGGCCCAGCTCTTGACAAAGCCACCCCTTGTTTACCATCTAAGCTACACATTAAGCACACCATCCTTTCCTTCTGGTTTTGATTTACAAAGCCTGGAAGACAATCCTTCGGTTTCACTGGATACATGTGCAAAATCATAACACCTCTTGGTGGGAACCTTTCCTTTTCTCAGCCTCCACCCCATCCCGCCCAAGCATGAAGCAGCCGCTTTCACTCCTGCCTCAGAACACCCGGCTGTCTTTATTTGATCCTTCTTCTGGCTTCCTCTTCACAAACCCAAATGGCTGGTTTCCACCACAGAAAGAGAGTTTGGAAATCTATCCTTCTCCCACCCAACTGCCCAATGTATTTTGGCTCCTCTCTGGGCCACAGAACCTCTCTCCCACTTAGTGTCGGGGTGTTTCCCTAAAGCATCCGCCCAAGACCCTTGCCGTTCTCCTACACTCCTTCTCCTCCTCCTCCTCACAAGGCTTCACACCCACCCGGCTAGACCCATGCTTGGGAGAGTCTCGCCTGTGGCCCAGGGGAGGGGGCTGGGCAGCCTCAGATTTCCGTTTGGCCTCCTGGTGCCGCTGCATCCTGTCCAGCTGTTCCTGGGCGCTCATGCGGGACCGCCGAGGGACTGTCGTTTCGGAAGAGGCCACCTGGACGTGAGGGAAGAAGGGAGGGTTGGGAGAAGTCATGGCCCAGGTGCCACACTTTTACCTGCAAAGTTGTTGTTTTTTTCTTTCAGTCCTTTAATACTAAAACTTCAAAAATGAATAAGCCGCACCCCAAGGGAATGGGAAGCTACCTGAGCACCCAATTTACCTCCCCTGCATTGGGCAGGATTGAGTTTTGAACCCCATTTTCCATAAATTGATGAAATTAACGGCTCAGCTGAACCTGAAGACCATCCTTGGCATTCCTTTAAAATCCTAAACCAGCTCCCTAATCAGGCCAATTTCCCACTTCTTAAGGAACCCTGTATTGCACCTCCAAAAAATATTGGCCCTGCCCACTCCAGTGATACCATGATGTTATAAGGCACATCCCTCACACTTCCAGGCAGGACACAAAGAAATGTGTGGCTGATTCCTAAGCTACTGCTTTGCCACGCTGGCATTCTTTTACCACCATGCATGGCCTTTGCAATCATTTATGACTTGCCCGCCATCCATCCATTACAACAGGGGTGGGGAACCATGGCCCTTTTATGACTTGTGGACTTCAACTCCCAGAATTCCTCAGCCAGCATAGCTCATGGATGGCTCAAGAATTCTGGGAATTGAAGTCCACAAGTCATAAAAGGGCCATGATTCGCCATGCCTGCATTAGGACTTCATCCCTTTCCTCATACATTCCAGAAACTGTTAAAACAAGGTTTTTTTAGTTGTAGTTCTAAGAGTCATTGAATGTTCATGAAAAGCTGGAATGAATAAAACAATTGTTTAAATCCCTTCAACTGCCATCCCTCATCAATCTTCCCCAAACAGATGTCTTGGAACTACAGTTCCCAAAATTCCCCAGGTCACATCTGAAAAACACTAGAGGAGAGCCAGGATGGCATTATGGTTAAGGAGTTGGTCTAGACTGGTGTTTCTCAAGTTCAAACTTTTGTGTGGACTTCAGCTGCCAGAATTCCTCAGCTGTTGGCCACTGGCTGAGTTGATGAGATTGAAAAACACTCATTTAGCACCATGAAGATTCAATTCAACTCCATTCTCATCCTGCCTGGGGGCTACTCGCTGTGTCTCAGCCCAACCTACCTCATAGGACTGTTCTTTGGAAAAACAAAAGGGAATGCCATGGATGACACTTTTGAGCTCTTGGAGGAAAGGCAGGGTAGAACCTAACAAATAAATAAATAAATAACCAAATGAGGAAGGCGGCAATAATTTTGCCATCCGTCATACCTTGACAACGCTGTGTTCAGGAACTTCACTTCTATGGATGCAGCCTTCATGGTCTAAGCCTAAGGAGTAGAAAGGAAGCAAGGGGAAAAAAACCCTGTCAAGCTTAAATTTCCTGTCTCTCCCTAGTTTCTGCTCCCACACCAGAAAAAAAAAACATTTGAGTAAGCAATCAATAAATTGCATCCTATTAGTTGCAGGACAGAGAAGCATCCATCTTTCAAGGTTAGAGCAGGTGACAGATGTGTCCTGCTTCTCCCAAGGGGACATTTTCTGACCAATGGGAAAGCAGCCTGATATGGGAAGGGAAAAAGCAATTATTTCTATTGCTCCCCTCTGGAAGGAGTTTCAAAGTATTTATAGCAGAACTACTGGATCCTGTAACAGCTTTGCTCCTTATGCCATCCATTCTTCTAAATTTGCAGGATTCTTCTTTTTTTTGCCACATATATGTATGCATTCAAACTAGACCGTGATGTTTCTCTATGTCATATATATGTGTGTATGTGGGTATATGGCAAAATGGTATTTTTTTTTAGAGCTGAATGCAACTAAATTTCATTTTAATGTATGCTGATTAGTGTACACTTAAAGTGACAATAAAGTTTTGTTCTATTCATTATGGGTAATTTAAGGAATGAAGTGGGAAGCTATAAAAGGAATAGGATAGGATAGGATAGGAAAAGAAAGGATAGGATAAGATATAAGATATAAGATATAAGATAAGATGATAAGATAAGATAAGATAAGTTAAGATAAGATTTATTGTCATTTTTTACAGTGGGCACACTGGCACACATTAAAAATGAAATTCTGTTGCCTGCTCTCACACTCTTACATATAATGCATATAAATATTAATCACTGTCCAACTTGAATACATAATGGAAGGAGGAAGCTTTAGAGTTCAGAAGGTTAATACTGTATGGAACAAAACTGTGACTGAACCTGGATGTTCTGCTTCAGATACCACAGAGCCCCCTCCTCCCAGAAGGTAACAAGGAAAACAGGTTGTGAAGAGGATGTGTGGTGTCCCAGACAATCTTGTGGACCCTGCTCAAGCAATGCTTATATGCTATGTCCTAGATGGAAGGGAGGGAACTACCAATGATCTTTTCTGCCATCCTCACCACTCCCTGCACTGCCTTCCTGTCTGAAGCAGTGATGCTTCCAAACCAGACAGTAATGCCATATGGCAGGGTGCTCTCGATCGTCCCTTTGTACAAAGTGGTAAGGACAAGGGAAGGAAGATGTGCTTTTCTCATGCGACGCAGAAAATGCAGGCGCTGCTGTGCTTGGGTCAACAGTGTCTCACTGTTGAGTGACCAAGCTTAAGAGGGGAAGGAGATGACCTGGCCATTTTCTCAAGCCTTAATTCCATTAAGATTATAATATTTTAATGCACTATTTAGGGAGATGCCTTTATTCTAGTCTAAAGTGATGTGCAGGTAATCCTCGACTTATGATCTCAACTGGAACCAGAATTTCTGTCGTTAAGTCATTGGAGTTACAGTATAAGTCAAATCAAACCTGATTTCATGATCAGTTTTACAGCAATCATTAAGCAAATCATACAGTCATTACAGTAAATCCAGTTTCCTCAATGGGCATTTTTTTGGGGGGGGGGGGGAATGGCAAAAAGGGTCACAAATTGCGATCGTGGTGACCACTGCAAATGGGAGCTGGTTGCTAAGTGACCGCATTCAGTCACCAAGCTTCATGGGTGATGAAGTGGTTGTACCGATAAGTGCGAATACAGGTTGTAAGTAACTTTTCCTGAGGCCATGGTAACTTTGAACCATTGTTAAATGAATGGTTGTAAGTCAAAGACTACCCACAGTTAGGAGTTTCTGCTGCACAATGCTTGAAATCCAGTCATTTGTTGTTTCCAATAGAAATTTCCTTTCCATTTTTTAAAAATTGCATTATCGTCTTCATTATTACTATTATTAATAAAAATATTAGTTCTACCTCTACTGCAGTTCATGCTACTTTACTGGGGGGGTGTTTTTGGGGGGGCTTGGGTGATTTGTCCTGCTTGATTCTTACTGGAGTTTTTGTCTTTATTTTGTTTTCTCAGCAGACTTGCGGGAGCAGACGGATGGAAAAGCAGGGAACAAATAATTTTAAAAAAATCAGACATCATCCATATATACCAGTAACAACCTTGATTCTCCAACTGCATGTTCCAATACAGGCAAACCAGCATACATTCACATACAAAGGAATGCAAAACAATGCTTAATATCACTGTTTAATAGAGAAATCTGACACAAGTACGAAAATTCAAGCTTTTTAGAAAAATCAAAACTTTTTAGGGTAAAACACCATACTTTGAAGGAGATATATATATAGGGGCCTGGGGCAGGGCGGGAAGTAATATATTTTACAAAAATATAATTAGCAGAACAGCATAATGTCATTAAAAATATAGCCACTCTAGAGTTCTCGCTCAAGGCACAAAGGACCCAGCCCAAATTATCCTACTTGGGACATCTTATGCAAAGACCCAGTTCTCTAGAGAAAGCTGTCTGATGCTGGGAAACAGAAGACAAGGATGGCCAGCAGCAAGACTTAGTTACAGTAGCCACGAGTGAATTATTAGACGAGCTGAAAGGCCAGTTAGGGAAAGAGAATTGTGGAGAAAATCAGGTGGTCTTTGATTTTCAACCATAACCAAGACTGGAATTATGTTGTAAGTTACATGGGTCATTAAGTGGGTCATCATGTAATGACATCTCATTTAATGACCTTTTTTGACGGCTGTTCAAACTTTGAATCCAGGTCATAAGTATCTTTTTTGGAGTCTACTGAAACTTTGAATGGTCACTAAGCAGGCAATCAAGAGTCAAGGACTAAATGTGGTTGCTAAGAGTTGACAAGGGTTTTTTAGTACAGAATCAATCAACCTACAGCCACTTGGCAGGCTCTGCATCAGTGCCACCAAATCACCAGGCTAGGTGGCAAAGCCACGTCTTCAGGTCCTTCCAGAAGGCTAACAAAATCAGGCTAGTCTAACCTCAGAGGAAATGATGTTCCACAGGACAAGTAACAAAACAGAAAAGGCTCTCCTCCTGGGTCCCACCAGGTGACATTCCTTCATGGATGGAGCCCACAAAATACTCTTTCTGCTGGACATGACAGGATGGGTAGATGTGATTGTGTGTTCTCTGGAGTTGTCCCTGGACAACAGAGGAGTTGAGCAACATGGGAAAAGGGAGATGCCCACCAGACAACCTTTCTTTCCTGTATGGTCACCTGTTAATTCGACTATTTTAAAGTCCAGATTCAAGCACAATTTCAAAAGGAACCTGAACTTGGATTAACTGTTCTTTCAAAAAAAAAAAAACCTTAATAGGTTTAATAACTGTTACAGGCTGGATGGGAGGATGTTCTCCAAGCTGTTTCTCAGACACTGATAGGTGTGGGGGAGATGCAGAGTCATAGGCAGAGGGAGGGGAGGAATAAAGTTAAGGGAACCCACCGTTCCTTCTCTTTCCCTTCCCTGCATGCCACAAAGAAGGACACCACCATTTGATGGCATCTCTAACTGGGGATGGCACTGGGGGCAGCACAATTTATGCCAGTAAAGTTGTTTGCTGGGTGAAGGCTAAGCAGATAGCTTTTCAACTGAATCACACAGGGAAGTGGATCCATGCTCAAATTGTGACCCAGATACATACTTATTTCTCAATTTCATTCACCTGGTCTAACAGAATCTGCTCCTCTGCCAAGCTTCCCTTTCTCGCTCTCTGGGGGCTCAATGGAGGAATGGTTGGGGGGGGGCTTGAGTCCATCCAGATGGTGAGATGTTCCCAAATGCCCTCTGCTGGAGGTAGATGGACTTTGCTGGAAGGGAATACAAAGGTGGTCAAGTTGAGGGCACTGCCCAGAGGGGAGGGCAGAGTTGGGGAAGGGAACGGAGCCCACACTTGATGCCCTAGAACAGCGGTTCTCAACCTGTGGGTCGCGACCCATTTGGGGTCGAACGACCATTTCACGGGGGTCGCCAAACAACGCAGTCCGCCATTTTTTCCCCCTTTTCCTTAGCTGTGCTACTCCCTTTTATTCTATTGGCTTTTGAAAGCCAATAGAATAGACTCTCTTGAAAGAGTCTAATTCTATTGGCTTTCAAAAGCCAATAGGAATTGTCCAGGCTGTCTCTGCCCTGCTGAGCCCGCCAAAAGTCCCATTCTGCAAATGGTGCTGCAAGTTGTCTGCAGCGAAGACGAGCTGTCTGGAAGTTTCCACCCCTCCCTGCTGAGCAACTACTAAAAATGTAAGTAAAGGAGGGCCAGGGGTGGGAGTGAGAGGCCGGCGGGCGCAGGGAGGGTTGCTGGCGTGCATGGGACCCGGCGGATGCCTTACCTCCCTTGGGCTGGGCCAGCTGGTGGCCCAGCTGGTGGTCGGCCTGCGCCATCGCTGCCCCTTGCCAGCTACGCCTCAGCCGGTGCAGGGGGCGGCACCACGCATGCACGGCGCTCCCGGGCAGGGAAAGTCCTTGACTTACGACCGGTTGGGTAGTCCTCGACTTACGACCGGTTGGGGGGTCGCAACATTAAAAAGGTTGAGAACCACTGCCCTAGAAACAGCCTTACCTGCCAGTCTGCTGAACTAGGGCCATCCTGCTGTTTGCTCCCCATTCTGCCTGGTTTTCCTGTATCCGGCCCATAGCTGGGCGTAGATTCCTGGAATAAATGGTAAAAGTTGGAGAAGCTGTTTCAGATTCCATCAAGTGGCTTCCACAGCAAGAGAACGTTTAATTAAGGCCATATCCTCAGGTTACCTTCTGAAATACCACAACACACAGCACACATTTTCCAAAGGATAAAATCAGGATTATGTCATCGTGTTATGGATAAGGAGACAGGTTAGAGCAGTGGTTCTCAACCTTTCTAATGCCGCGACCCCATAATACAGTTCCCCATGTTGTGGTGACCCCCTAACCACTTATACATCACTGGGTGCCAGGGGCGTGGCCAAAGAAAAGGGGGGGGGGGGAAATGGCGGACAGCCTTGTTTGGCGACCCCCGTGAAATGGTCGTTTGACCCCAAATGGGGTCCCGACCCACAGATTGAGAACCACTGGGTTAGAGGGAAATCTGCTCCTTTGGGGAAACAGAAAATATACGGATAGGAGAAAAACACTGAATCGGTTGAACTATTCACAGAATCCAGTATGGGTAGTCCTCGACTTACAACAGCACTGAAAGTTAGAATGGCACTGAAAAAAGTGACTTTCTGTTTTTCACACTTACAGCAGTTGCGGCATCCACATGGCCACGTGATCAAGATTCAGATGCCTGGCAACTGGCTCATACTTATGACGGTTGCAGTGTCCCAGGGTCATGCAATCATATTTTGAGACCTTCTGACAAGCCAAATCAATGGGAAAGCTAGATTCACTTAATGACAGTATTATTAACATTGTAACAGCTACAGTGACTCACTTAACAACTGTGTCAGGAAAGGCCGTAAAATGGGGCAAAACCCGTCTTGCTTAACAACAGAAAATTTGGGGCTCTATTGAGGTCGTAAGTTGTATAAGTAGTCCCTGATTTACAGCCATTTGTTTAGCAACCATTTGAAGTTACAACAACACTGAAAAATGCGATGACCAATCCTCACACTTATGACAGTTGCAACATCCCCACTGTCATGTGTTCAAAATTCAGGTGCATGGCAACCAAGATGTATTTCTTTACAATGGCTGCAGCATCCTGGGGTTGTATGATTGCCATTTGCAACCTTCCCAACCTTCCAACCACAAAGTCAACAGTGATTTGCTCAAAAATCATGCAATTTACTTAACAACTGCAGTGATTCGTTTAATAAACCTGCCCCCCCCCCAAAGGCCTTTTTAATAAAGGTGGTAAAATTGGGTGTGGCTCACTTGACAAATATCTTGCTCAGCAACAAAAAATCTGGTCTGAATTGGGGTCATAAGATGAGGACTATCTGTAACTGGTTTACAGAAAGGCCAGCCAGTTGATTCAAGGAAGCTCAGATTCATGTCACAAAAGAAGAAGCTGGAACTTTAGAGCAGCTTTCAGAATTTTTTCAGTGAAAATAGTAGTCAAATTGATATCCAGCGCCACCTACTGGAGTATTAGAGAAATTGATGCAATATATACTCTTCTTGCTAAATTGTTGGACTGGTGACAAAGAATTTTCAGATTTTACCACTTTTTAAGAACACAAAAATCAGAGGAAGAATAAAACAACCAAGCAGAATCCAAGTACTTCTTTCCCTTGAACGGAGCTTCTATTTATCTCTAACACCAATACTTTTTGCAAAATTATTTGCTTTTCTGAAGCAAGATTAAAGGTTGCGTGTTGCCCCTTTTGTAACAAATCCTAAAAGCCACAGAAAAGTTACCACAAAGTCTAATGAAGCCTATTATTAACTACCTTGGGGATCCATTGATGGTTACACAATGGTTAACTGGAATGCGCTGGGTTTCCCCCCCACACACACACACACACCGTTTTGCTTTCTTATCTTTTTAAATTTATTTTGATTGTATTTTAAATTTGTTTTTAATCTATTTGGGTTGTTTTATTCTGTATGCTGCCCTGAGGCACTACATGAGATGGGCGGCTATATAAATATGATTGATAAATAAATAAAAGTGTATGAAGGCACATCCTAATAAATCAGGTGCCGCGTTTTAGGGAAGACTTACAATAGTTCATTTGGTAAGTGCTCAAGGTTACAACAGCACTGAAAAAAAGTGACGTGTGTTTTCACACTTATGACCACTGCAGCATCCGTGTGGTCATGTGATCAAAATTTAGATGCTTGGCAACTGACTCATGTTTATGATGGTTGCAGTGTTCCGGGGTCATGTGACAAGCAAAATCAATGGGGAAGCCAGATTCATTTAACAACCGTGTCGCTAATTTAACAACAACAGTGATTCACTTAACAACTGTGGCAAGAAAGGTCATACCACGGGGCAAAACTCACTTAGCAACAGAAATCTTGGGCTCAATTGTGGTTGTTAAGTCAAGGACTACCTGTATAATTAGTGGTCTTTGAATGTGTACCCTTATACCCTCATGCACACGCACAAACACTGCCACGTCTTGTGGCAGGCATATTCAATACACAGTATTAAACAGAGGGAATGTTCAGCCTCTAAAGAATGTTTCCAAAAATAGAACAGGACAGAAGTCTAAAAGAAAGACAAAAGGGGAGAGTCCATCACGCTCTGAAGCCAAACTCCAGATGAAGTGACTTGTTCTTTTTGAAGTACCTCTGTTTCGGTGCAGGATAGCAGAGGGTGATGATTTGCCCCCAGATGTGAATCCAGAGGTGAGGGTGAGCCTGGAGACACACCTACAATGAAGAAAGCAAAAGATATTGCAGTGGATTCCTTTCTCCCAAGATCCTTCTCTTACCATAGTCAGAACACCATCAGGGATATGTTTAATTACACTTTGGATAGTGTTTTAATTGCAGGATAGTCTCAGGAGATAGCAGCTTGGTAATTTAGATAACGATTAGGGGACTGGAGACTAAAACATATGAAAAACGGTTGCAGGAATTGGGTATGTCTAGTTCAGTGGTTCTCAACCTTTTTAATGCCGCGACCCCCAACCGGTCGTAAGTCGAGGACTACCCAACCGGTCATAAGTCGAGGACTTTCCTTGCCGGGGAGCACCGTGCATGCGTGGTGCTGCCCCCTGCGCCGGCCAAGGGGTAGCTGGCAAGCGGCAGAGACGGAGCAGGCCGTCCACCAGCTGGCCCAGCCTAAGGGAGGTAAGGCACCCGCCGGAAAAGGGGAAAAATGGCGGACAGCCTTGCTTGGCGACCCCCATGAAATGGTCGATCGACCCCAAATGGGGTCGCGACCCATAGGTTGAGAACCGCTGGTCTAGTTGAATGAAAAGAAGGACTAGGGGTGATGTGATAACAGTGTTCCAATATCTAAGGGGCTGCAACAAAGAAGAGAGGATCATCCTTCAAAGCACCAGAAGGCAGGACAAGAATCAATAGATGGAAACTAATCAAGGAGGGAAGCAACCTAGAATTAAGGAGTAATTTCTTGACAGTTAGAACAATTAATCAGTGGAACAGTGGCATATTAATCAGAAGTTGTGGATGCTCCGTCCCTGGAGGTTTTTAAGAAGAAACTGGACAGGCATTTGCTTGAAATGGTATAGAATTTCTTGTCTGAGCCAGAGGTTGGACTAGAAGATCTCCAAGGTTTGTTCCAACTCTGTTGTTCTGGAAGTGAGCCCTCCCCCCCCCAGGAATAAATTACAACACTATAGCTTAGACTGGGAAACTGGAAGTCATCTCAGAAAAATGAAAAAAAGTCTGCATGTGAGGGTTCAGATAGTCACTGAGAATCACACTGAATCAAGGGGATCTTTACCTTCTCAACTGCACTGTTGATATCATTTCTTTGACAGCAATCAACAATCATTACTCCCATCTATTGGTGGAAAGGTGGGGTACCATTCCCAGGAATAAATCCCAGGTATAATAATGGGACATACCTGATGAGGAAGGAACCCTCTTGGTTGCAATGCTGATTATTCGTAACAGAGAACTACCCCGCTCTGCCCCCCCTCCCCACACCTAGTGCAGTGCAGTGCTGATCACATTGCATTAAGCACCTGATCTTCGGTTTTCCAGGGTGCGGTAATTTGCATGGCTGCATCTCAATCCCGCCAGGATGTCATGGATTCTCCACAAATCCTGCTGAGCTGCTGCTTGGTCCTAAAGGAAGGGAATTGATGGACAAATGGAGACAACTGCCACACCTCCTGTCTCTCTGGCTTTTCCCATCACCGCCTCTGAACAAGAGCCGAAATTTCTCAACTGACAGGAGCGCTGCTGTCGAACACTCCCCTATGTTTTTAAGGCAGAGCGTTATTTCTAAAGCTGTGCAGTATTTCTTCCATGGACAGGAATTTTCAGTATGTGTTGATATCAAATGTATAGATATTGAGGCCTTTTTTTTAGTTTTTCTTTCATTGTTTAAAAGTAATTTTCTAGTTTTTAAAACAGTTAATAAAAGAAAAATAGGAATTCCTATAAATAAAAAACAGGGTGGATGACCCTGAAGATTAGGAATCCAAGTTGTCTCCTGCTTTCTGTTCCTATTATTAAATAATTGGACTAGGAATGCAGAATAATTTGCATAAAACAAAAGTATCTTTTTATGACTGTAAAATACCAAACCGATTGTTTATTAGTTCCACGCATTCATTTTAGTTATCATTAAGGTTCAAAAGCTGACTTATCCATGAAACTCTCCTATGTGTACATCCTTTAAAATTTAACAATTAAAAAGCCAGCAAATTCTGTATTACTAAATTAATAACAGAAACAATAAACAAACTTGATATATTGTATCATCCAATAAAGTGTTAACTCAGTCAAAGGCTCCTGTCAGTGAGTGACGATGGTCTACTTAGCAATGCACCCTAGTGGGTGTCCACTAGAATAGAGTTTTGTATGTTTAGAGACACAACTGAGAAAGCTCCATCCCTCATATTTAAGATTTACCTGGGGATGCCCAGAAGTCCGGATATGCTCCAAGGAACCCTTCAGCATCTGTACGTCATTTTCCAAGGCTGTATAATCTTCCCATACTCGTTCACTGTCCTGGACAGAAACAGTAACTCAGCTACTTAGTCAGATATCCCCTACTGAATACATATTCATACAATAATTTTAAGATATGATCCAGCTTACCTGTGTTTATGGTAAGAGAAAAAGCTGATGAGATACAGCTCGGTGGTATCTTGGTATTCAACTGCTTTGAAACTCATCACATTTGGTATTCAAAGCATTTTGATGTGAAAATTTTGTCCTGGTGCTCATTGTCTGTTTGATACTCAATGCACAAGCTAGAACTTGTTGGCGTTGGCTGCCTTGTGACTCATTATGTTATTCCTTATGAGAAAAAATTGTTTGGTGCTATTGTTTTTGATACTCATCACGCCTCCCAGAGCAATTAACGAATACTGAGATACCGTTGTAAAAGGCAGTGGTTCTCAACCTGTGGGTCGGGACCCCATTTGGGGTCAAACGACCATTTCACGGGGGTCGCCAAACAAGGCTGTTTTTTCCCCCTTTTCTTTGGCCACGCCCCTGGCACCTGGTGATGTATAAGTGGTTGGGAGTCACCACAACATGGGGAACTATATTATGGGGTCGCGGCATTAGAAAGGTTGAGAACCACTGGTATAAGGTCTTACTGAATCTGTCCTACAAAATATCAGGACAACCACTAGGTGGCTAGCAGTCATCTGGATTTTTGCAGCACAGAAATATAGCCAACTGGCTGGCTTTGTGTACAGAAACCCTGTGCACATTGTCTGGGTGACAGTCTCCCAAGTCCAGAAGGGAAATTCCAAAGAAGGTTATGGAGAATAAGAGGGTTAAGATTCTGTGGGATTTTCAGATCCAGACACTTAGGCAGATACTGGGTAATCAACCAGACATTGTGGTACGAGACAAGGGCCAGAAGACAAGGGTGACGATATACTACAGGTGTCCCCAATCTATGGTCCACAGCCCACTGCCAGGCCATGGGCTACCAGCCACCAGGCCGCAAGACAGGCTGGCCAGTGCACGCACGTTTGTGTGTGCACTCACCCCCACTCGTGCTGGAGTCTGCAGACCTGTTTGCCCATGCGCGCAGGGCTAGCAGCAGTGGTGGCTAGAATATGCAAGCATGCATAAACAGGGCCACTAGCACGCGGTGGTTACACAGCCCGCTTGCACATCCGCATGGGACTAGCAGCAGTGGCAGCTAACTCCAGTGTGCATGCGCAAATGGGGCTGCTAACCCCATGCAGGTGCCCGCAGCCCCATTCGCACAGGCGTATGCATGCATGCATACACAAATTTCCCACCTGCTCCCTCTCCCTCCGGGCCGCCAGCATGAAAAGGTTGGTGACCTCTGATATAGTATACAAAATGACAGCAACATCAGGAAGGAGAAGGAGCACCAGGGCCTGAAGGAGGAATTAGAGAGGATATGGAAATAAAGGCTGGAGCGATCCCAGTGATGATAGGAGCACTCTGAGCTGGGGAACGGCTACAACAGATCTCAGAAACAACTTCAGAGCTCTCTGTCCAGAACAGCGCGATGGTGGGAAACAACTAAAATACTCCGCAGAATCCTCAATGCAGTTGGATGTTTCCAGGCTGGGAAAGACAAATATACAGCATTTCTTTCTCTTTTCCTATAAGTAGCATCAGTTGATGATCAAACAGCTGGACCTTACCGGATATACAGCTACCAATTGACCTATGTGCAGATCTACTCAGGATGTTCTTCAAAAAATATTTTCATTCAAGTATCAGGGAGCTGCAACCACTCACCAATGCAAGATCACAGAGACGGGCACGGATGTGCACCAGTTCATCTTGCAGTTGCCTTTGTTGATAGCAGATCTTCTCCACGGTGGCATCTTGGCCTTTAAATTCCTCCAGCCTCAAGTGTGTTACTTCCAAGGCCTTTTCAAGATGTTCCTGAAACAATACCATTTCGAGAACTGTCAACCCAGCAGAGATTTTTCTTCATTGCAGTTTGATGAATCTGTCACGGTTCAGAGATGACAGAGACGAATAAAGCAGAACTCCGAGGCTCGCAAGTTCCTCAAAGAACAGGTTTATTAGTTACAAAGTATCGGCACAGTCAAGAGTGAAACCAAGTTAAATGTCCCACCCACAAAAGCTATGTAAGCAACTACATTTCCCAATATGATTGGGGCTTTTTATGAAACGCTCAGTCCACAGTCTCGGGAGCAGCCGGTGACCTTGGTTCCCGTAGGACAAAAGATTACTTTGACGAGCGAAGCACTTGGGCAACCACCCTCCCTCCGTTCTATGTGGCAACCTAGAATGAGAAGGAAAATGGCTGCAGCCATGCTCATTTGTAGAGTTGACAGAATCAACAAAACAAACGTTTGTTTCAAGGCCTTTTGCAGAACCACAGAAATGGACAGTATCACAGACTACTTAGTATAGGGAGAGAACCAGTCCCAAGACCTTGCAGCTGATATTTGGCAGCAAATGACAACAGGACTTCTAATCAATTTGAGATTGAAAGTCATTTCTAAATAGATATATAAGGCGATATCATGATATGTGAAAAAGAACTTGGGAAACAAAAGTAATAGCCAGAGGCTAGACAAGGGTCAAACAAGTAGAAATTGAGTCTACAGAAGGAATGGGGGGGGCATGGCAAACATCTCAGAAGGGACCAATCCTAGTTTCTTACACTGTAAAGATGAGGGAATTTAAACCCGAACTGTTTCTACTAGGAATACTAGGATCTAATTATGGAAAAGAGAATGAATACTTAATATTATATGTATTAACAGCTGCGAGAATAGTATTCGCCCAATTTTGGAAAAATGAAAAGCTACCACCTGACCAGATTATTATTACAAAAATATTGGAATGTGCAAAAATGGATAGACTAACTTTAGAAATCAAAGAGAAAGAAGACACAATTTATTTTAAAACATGGGAAAAATTCTATAAATGGTTAACAACACAACAGAATGAGAAAAGGTTATGAAATTAAATAGGATAAATGATACTTTTTATTCAACTTTTATCTGATTGCTGTGAATACTCTTATATTTCCGATTTTACCTATAAGTAATTATAATTAATAAGCAATATATCAGTATTTATGTAATTATATTCAATTAGTAATATATTAATAGTACATTATTGTTAAAATTATTATATTATTAATAGTACATTAATTATTGTTAAAATTAATTTATAGAATGAATGATATGTATTAGTTAATTTCTCATTCTTATTATTAGTGATAAATTTATTTATTTATTTATTTATGAGACTTATATACCGCTTTAAGTGCAAGCACTCTCTAAGTGGTGTACACCAGTAAGCAATGTATACATATATTTACATTGCCCCCAACAATCTGGGTCCTCATTTTACCTACCCCAGAAGGATGGAAGGCTGAGTCAACCTTGAGCCGGTGAGATTTGAACCGCTGACCTGCTGAACACAGTCAGCTAAAGTGGCCTGCAGTACTGCACTCTAACTGCTGCGCCACCTCAGCTCTATTTAACATAGCTGTTTAGTATTATATTAACTATGGACATTTAACTGTACACCCGGACGGTAGTCTGCTTGCTAAAGTGTCGATTTATTGTTGGGGGTAACCCCACTATTGTACCTATCCCTATCTTTGGTTTAATCCTTGTTCTTTACCCTATGTTATACCCCTACCTATTTCATCCCCTCCCCATCCCTATAAAATCCAATAAAATATATATAAAGATGAGGAGGGAAGAGCTGTGCCTTCAGATTTTTAAGGTTCTGTTAATGTCATTTTACAGTAAAGATGGCACTTTTTGCCTGGACTACCTCACAAGATTGATGGAGAAAATATTTAGAAAGAGGCAAACTAGCCTATCTCTTCTGGTGACGGCATGGCTCCATCAGCCTTCTCACTGAAGACTTTGGCAAGATAACTAAGTTAGAGAAGAAAGTGCACACAGACAAGAGTCTGTTCCGGTGTTGACAGAACTCTGGCTACAGGGGAGAAAGCCAAACATCCTTAGTAATCCATTGTGTGTCCAGTTCTATTTTATAAAAGAAATGTAACAAGGACTATTAAGGAATGTCAGCCTTGCAAGGTAGTCCAGACAAGAAGCACACCCAGAAGTACTAGCTGCAACTTTATTGTAAGGATACATAAACAGAATCTTGCAAGTCTTTTTCCCACCATAGCAAAAAGAGGGAAGATCCCAGAATGATTCACCAAACACAAAGTTCTCAAACATAACAGAGCTAAGCAAATGCTCGTTTGTTCAATGGAAGTGGGATTAGATACCTTTTCAGCACGAAGCTGCCCTGTCTCTTCTTCCAGACCTCGAAGCAGTTTGTCTTGGCCACACAATTTTGTCAAAAGAGCCTGAAAACATAGGGGGAAAAAATGGGCTGATTCCAATTAAACTCTCAGAAGATGCTGTGCTGCCCAGGCACAGAAAGTTTTTTTTTAAAGGTCTTAGCTTACAAGTTAAAATTCTTTGAAAGAACATTTGGGGGTTTTACAATGAGGGCTGCAATGTCCAACATTTTTGGATATGCTAGGCAGAAGATTGGAAGTTACAGCCCCAACTCATCTGGAGAAGGTTGACCACAGAAGCTTACTACTCATGGAAGAAATCCTTTATTTTATGATGATAAAAATTCCATGTTTCCAAAATTCAATTGATCAACCTTTGAAATTAATTCACTGCAAAGTTCCAAATTAAGCATGTGCTTCTGCCAGCTGCTTGACCACCTGCTACAAACAAATGTTTATATTGTGTAAAGCTTTCTCTGCTGATAAAAGTGTGAATAAGGCATGGACATAGGCCAGGGTTGGTCCCTCAGACCCAATGAGCTACCCTCTATGACAAGCAACAGGGAGAAAGCAGAACTATTTAACTCATTTTTTGCATCTGTCTTTACACAAAGGGAAAAAACAGACCAACCTATCAAAAATAGTGCCATAAAAAACAAAACAGAAACACAAGTTAAGATAGGCAAGAAAATCGTTAGGGAGCACCTGTCCAGCCTAGATGGGTTCAAATCGCCAGGACCAGATGGATTACACCCCAGAGTTCTCAAGGAACTGGCAGATGTGATATCGGAGCCACTGAACTATATTTTTCGAAGATCCTGGAACACAGGGGGACTACCAGAGGACTGGAAAAGAGCTGATGTAGTTCCCATCCTCAAAAAAGGAAAAAAAATGGATCCAGGAAATTACAGACCTATCAGCCTGACCTCAATACCTGGGAAGATCCTGGAAAAGATAATCAAACAACGAATCAACGAACACCTAGAGGCAACAAAGTCATTACTAAAAGCCAACATGGGTTTGTCAAAAATAGATCATGCCAGACAAATCTTATTGCATTCTTTGACCAAGTGACAAAATTAGTGGATCAGAGGAATGCTGTGGACATAATTTACTTGGACTTCAGTAAGGCATTTGATAAAGTAGATCACAACCTACTACTTGACAAGATAGAAAAATGTGGGGTAGACAGAACCACCACCAGATGGATCCGTAGCTGGATGACCGGCCGTACTCAGCGAGTGGTCCTCAATGGAACTGCATCTATATGGAGGGAAGTGTGTAGTGGGGTGCCCCAGGGCTCTGTTCTGGGCCCAGTACTCTTCAACATCTTCATCAACGATTTGGATGAAGGGATAGATGGGGACCTCATCAAATTTGCAGACGACACCAAGCTGGCAGGACTAGCCAACACTCCAGAAGACAGGCTTCAGATACAGAAGGATCTGGACAGACTTGAACACTGGGCACTAACTAACAAAATGAAATTCAATGGTGAAAAAAGCAAGGTTCTACATTTAGGCAAGAAAAACCAAATGCACAAGTACAGCATAGGTGGCACCATGCTAAATAGTAGTAACTGTGAGAGGGACCTCGGAGTCCTAGTAGACAATCACTTAAATATGAGCCAGCAGTGTGCTGCAGCTGCCAAAAAGGCCAACACAGTGCTAGGCTGCATTAACAGAGGGATAGAATCAAGATCACGTGAAGTATTAATACCACTTTACAATACCTTGGTAAGGCCACACTTAGAATACTGCATCCAGTTTTGGTCACCACGATGTAAAAAAGATGTTGAGACTCTAGAAAGAGTACAGAGAAGAGCAACAAAGATGATTAGGGGACTGGAGGCTAAAACATATAAGGAACGGTTGCTAGAATTGGGTATGTCTAGTTTAACGAAGAGAAGGACAAGGGGGGACATGATAGCAGTATTCCAATATCTCAGGGCTGCCATAAAGAAGAGGGAATTAAGCTATTTTCCAAAGCACCTGAAGGCAGGACAAGAAGCAACGGGTGGAAACTAATCAAGGAGAGAAGCAACCTAGAACTAAGGAGAAACTTCCTGACAGTGAGAACAATTAATCAGTGGAACAGCTTGCCGCCAGAAGCAGTAAATGCTCCAACACTGGAAGTTTTTAAGAAGAGACTGGACAGCCATTTGTCCGAAATGGTTTAGGGTTTCCTGCCCGAGCAGGGGGTTGGACTAGATGACCTCCAAGGTCCCTTCCAACTTTACTACTATTACTAACCTATTGTCTGGCTCCAGGGAGTGGAAAACTGATTAGAGATATGAATCCCAAACCTGATTAAGTTACCAAAATTGGGTAAAAGTGGTTTTTTTTTGGGGGGGAGGGGGCTAACAACACAGAAACCTATCAAATAGCTCGTTTGATTGTGTGTTGTCGTGGGAGGAGTACTGTTCTTTATTCTTTTATATTAGTTTTTTAATTTTTTTGTAAGCAGCCCAGAGCCACTGAAAGTGAGTGGGTGGCTATATATGTAAATCTCATGTATGCATGCATATACATACATACACACACACACACACACACACACACTCAATCACCACAGGGACATTTAAATAAGAACTTTCTGATAAACAGTGAAAGGGCTTTCTGATAAGCAGTTTGGGGTAATGAAGGAAAAAGTTTGGGAAGCACTGGATTAGAGGGATATCAGAGATATTATAAGAGCAGAATTTTAGGCCTGAAGCCACAACTCCAAGATCAAAAGGCAGAAACATGTGGCCAAATGATGGGAAGTTTGATCTGGTGATTAAGGTCCTAGAATAACAAAAGGAAAATGCCTCTTTCATTGATCATGGTGTATGCATGCCTTCAAGTCAGTTTTGACTCCTGGTGACTGTCTAGACTAGTCTGTGCAGGTTTTTTTGGCAAGGTATTTTGGAAGTGGATTGCCATTGCCTCTTTTCTAGGGTTGAGACAGAATGACTGGCCCAAAATCACACAGTTGGCTTTGCACCCAAAGTGGGAGAAAAATTCATGGTCTCCCATTTTCCAGCCAGATGCCTTAACCACAAGCTCTCTCAAAGAAGCCATAGGCCCATGTAAAATTATTTAACTCAAACTAAAATAATCTTCTAGACTTGGATGGAATCTTTTCTGGGGGGGGGGGGGAAGAGGGGGCCAGATTTTTGCATTTGGTCCTGGAGAAATCTGCCTAATTGTGTTTTTTGCTGTTCTTAGGCCAGTGTTTCTCAGCCTTGACAATTTTAAGGCATGTGGACTTCAACTCCCAGAATTCCACAGCCAGCAATGCTGTCTGTGGAATTCTGGGAGTTGAAGTCCACATGCCTTAAAATTGTGAAGGTTGAGAAACACTGAACAACAGGCCAAGAAATATATTTCTTCATTTTCATTTTACAATTAACCTTTGAGATTTTCTTTCTTTTCTTTTTCAAATGGTACTTTTTTTTTTTTTACTGCCACTGCATTTGGAATAGCTTGGTTTTATTCAGTTTACTTTTCCACCGCTATTTATACCATTCTCAGCTTAGTGATAAGACTCCAGGGGGAAGGGGAAGAATAACCTCTTTCAGAGGTAAATCAGTACAGGCAGACCTCAACTTATGACCTCTGTTGCTAAGTGAGACATTAGTTAAGTGAGCTTTGCCCACATTTTACGACCTTTCCTACAACACTTAAGTGAATTGCTGCAGTTGTTAGTAACACAGTTGTTAAATGAATCTGACTTCCCCATTGACTTTGCTTGTCAGGTCACAAAAAGGGACCACATGATCTCAGGGTACTGCAACCGTCATTAAGTATGAGTCAGTTGCCAAGCATCTGAATTTTGATCACGGGACCCTGGGGATGCTGCAACGGTCATTCAAGTGTGAAAAACGGTCGTAAGTCCTTTTTTTCAGTGCTGTTGTGACTTCGAATGGTCACTAAGTGAACTGTTGTAAGTCAAGGACTGCCTGTAAGGGAAATTGGCAAAGCAAAAGCAATACACGTCGTCCATTGATCAGAGAAGAGAAATGCATACATCGATGTCACTTTCAAACCGCTGCCTGCCAGGAGACTGGCTGCTCCTTTCCCTCAGCACGTTTCGACCCTAGAAAGACAGTAAATAGAGCATCCATGTTATCACCCCACAAATAGAAGTGGCAGCACTGGCTTTTGCCTCAAAGCAGGGGACACTGTGCACATGCTGAAGAGATTTGCCCAAACCTGGATCTAACAAGGTTTCTATGAGTACTTTGGTGCAACCCTTGCATAAAGAAACCTAGCCAGTCAGGGAGAAACCGAGGCAAAATCTTAACTTAAGGGACTAGATTTTCACACGCGGGGAGGTGTTGATATCAAGTCAGATTCTGTCATATTATAACCATTTGCATCTCAAAACAAGGAGCCCGAAAGACATTTTTTAAAATCCAAATGCTGATTCTTACTAAAATTAACCAAGTGAAAGTGACGCAGTTAAACAGGGTTTAACTAAAATCTTGCTAAGCTAGGAGTAGGCAACCTTGGCTCTTTTATGACTCATGGACTTCAACTCCCAGAATTCCTGAGTCGGCATGGCTGGCTCAGGAATTCCCTCAGCAGCAATACAATAGTCTAATGAGACATTCAAGATCTCAAACGGTAATCACATATACCAAGGACATTGCGGCCATCATAAATGCATGCCAAGCGCCTGAATTCTGATCTCATGACCATGTGACTTTTTTCATTGCCAACTTTGAATGGTTGTTAAAAGAAAGGTTGTAAGTGAAAAACTGCCTGTTACTATTTATGTCTTACTAAAATTCTCCTGCAGTTCTTGCAATTGGGCAAAATGTTGCACCGCAGGGAAACCATTGTTGAATCAACGTATCTCAAATAGGCTAACTCAGGGGTAGGCAACCTTGGCTCTTTTATGACTCGTGGACTACAACTCCCAGAATTTCTGAGCCAGCCATGCTGGCTCAGGAATTCTGGGAGTTGAAGTCCATGAGTCATAAAAGAGCCAAGGTTGCCTATCCATGGGCTAACTTAAAGAATGTGACCAAAATCCAGGAGCCCTAACTCCCAGGGGATTGAAATTTGGCAAAATTATGACTGTTCCAATGCCACCAACTGCTGCACCGCTGCAGTTAGCCATGGCCACATGACTGTCACTTCTTACTATACTTCCCAAAATTGCTCTCTGTCCCATCTCCCTCTGGCCTCTGCACCCAATTGGCTGGCAGCAAGGCCCGATAGGTGATAGGTGAGCAGCAATTGGCTGCCTTGAAACCAAGGCCGAAATCTGAAATTTCTTAACCGTGGTAGGCAGAAAGGAAAGGATGAGAGTGTGCCTCAGATGCCTTCTGGCAAGTTAAGGCTGGTTGGGGGTTGCTGGCAGTTGACAGGTGAGTCTCCCTGGAGGGAGGAGATCAACAGTTCCCTTGGTTTCCCCTATCCCCAGCACAGGGGCAGGCAGTTCCATGGGTCAGCTGAAGAGGAGGAGGAGGAGGAGGAGGAGGAGGAGGAGGAGGAGGAAGATGTGGAGACAGAAGCTTCAACATGGCTTTGCTAAAGGTCATGAGGAGAAACACTGCCAACCCATATTACTGTATATGTGGAAAGAAGAAAAACCCAATGGATGGGTGATGGGTTGACCATCACCACATACCATTATATTTAAATACTTAAAGTTCTTCCAAGACAATTTGGATTTGGTTGTTCACATCCCTTCCCAAATCCTTACTGTGCAACCAAGAATAAATATTCCAGCTACTGGCTGGTTCGTGTTACTATGAACAATGGTAGAAAAGAGTCCTATAAATATAACCACTAGACATTCTATGCAGGTATCTAGTTAATTGTTTGCACTAACATGGTCTGTGATGGTAAGGTTGTTGGCCAAGAACAGAGGAGGAACCGAGTACAAATCTACATACCGTGATCCCTATAGATGTCCTTTTCCCTGGGGTGGGCCGAGTGGGCAGGGGAGGAAGGGGTGGTAGATGCAGGTAGCTTGATGAGGCAGAGTGGGGGGTTATCTGTGGGAAAAGGAAAGGCAATATTAAGGAATATAGCCAAGAAGGGTTAGTGTGACAGTGCAAAAAACCCTCCCTTGAATGTACATTATACACGAAGTACTTTTCAGAAAACTCTTTAGAGCTTTCATTCTAGGCAGGAAGCAGGTTTCTAGCTATGATGATGATGATGATGATAATGAGTTGGAAGGGACCTTGGAGGTCATCTAGTCCAGCCCCCTCTCAGGCAGGAAACCCTATACCATTTTGGATAAATGGCTGTCCAGTCTTTTCTTAAAAACTTCCAGTGTTGGAGCATTCACCGCTTCTGGAAGCAGGTTGTTCCACTGGTTAATTGTTCTAACTGTCACAAAGGAATTCTCGAACACAAACATGGAAACTTCAAAAGTGGTTGAGGACAAGAATCAGCTTCTCGCAAGACAATCAAAAGTTGCTACAGGTAATCTTCAGCCGGGCAATTATGGTTGTAAGTTGTAACGGTCGTAAAGCAGGTCATCACATGACCAGACCCAATTTTATTATGCTTTTTTGCAGCAGTTATTAAATAAACACAGCGATCATAAAGCAAAAAACTGCAGTTGCTAAGCAAACTCATCCTTCACTGTAACTAAATGCCAATTGCCGGGGGGGTGAATGTAAAATGCAGTCACGTGATCACGGGATGCTCTAAATGTCGGTTGGTTGCCAAGTGCCCAACATGTGGTCATGTGACCTGGGGGGAGGTGGCTGTTGGAATTTCAGAAACAGGCCATAAGTACCCCAGGAAGCTGCATTGCAACACCGAATGATTGCTATGCAACTGTTATAAGTTGAGGACTACCTGTATTTTGCTTTATTGGCATCATTTATACCATTTATATAATTGGACTGGAGAACTCAGCTTTTGCTGGGGCAGAATTACAGGTAATCCTCAACTTACGACCACAATTGAGTCCAAAATGTATGTTGCTAAGTGAGAAATTTGTTAAGTGACTTTTGCCCCATTTGTACGACTTTCCTCGCCACATTTGTTAAGCGAACCACTGGAGTTCTTAAATTAGTAACACGGTTGTTAAGTGAATCTGGTTTCCCCCACTGACTTCGCTTGTCAGAAGGTCACAAAAGTGGATCATATGACTCCGGGACACTGCAGAACCGTCACAAATGTGAGTCAGTTGTCAAGCTTCTGAATTTAAATCATGTAACCATGGGGATGCTACAAAGGTCATAAGCGTGAAAAATGGTCGTAAGTCACTTTTCGCAGTGCCGTTGCAACTTTGAACGGTCATTAAATGAATTGTTGTAAGTCAAGAGCTACCCGTACTTAGCCACAGAATGCAATATTTTTACAAAAAAATGCAGGAAACCACACACAGTCCAGTCATGATGAATGCCGAGGGCACATTCTGTTTGTATATGTGATACTCCAGACCTAGCATATCTAGATTTTGCAGGCTAGATACAGAGAGGGAGCATAGCCAATAGAGCAGGAAAATGAAAAATGCTATACATCTCTGCCTCTCCGATACTCACCAGTCGGCCGTGAAGCCGAGACATGACCAAAGCACGGGACGGGCCAACCGGTGGAGAGAGGTAACCTCGGTCTGTAAACTGGCACAGATAGAGAGACATTCATGAAACATTCAAACTCAGATTATAGAGAGAATTCAAAGTTTATTTGTTGGTTGACTTGATGTGTACAGGTCTCATCTTACCTTAAAGCCACATCAAAACCCAAAAATGAATCAATAAAAATAAAAATATGAACATGTTGAATCAGCAGTAGAAATACAAGCAGCACACAAAAAAAAAAAAAAACCCAAGGATCAATGGCAGGATTAATGAATACATTACATGCAATTCAACCATTGAAAAAAAAAATCTCCAAAACCACCGGACTAGTCCCAAGGTGTTGGCAAAATCACCAACAAGCTTAGAAAACCAGGAGCCAAGGCGGTTCAAATGAATACAGGTTTATTGCATGCTGACGTTCTCTACAAGAATCTGAACTAATGGTCAAAGCGAATTGGCGGTAGATGACATTCAATGGAATTCAAGGTGGGTGCAAAGGGAGGTGAGACTGAGGACGTGTTTGACCCCTCCCTTGGGCTCAGCCTGGTCATCTCCTACAGCAGGGATCTTCAAACTTGGCCCTTTGATGACTTGTGGACTTCAACTCCCAGAATTCCTCAGCCAGCGTGGCTGACTGAGGAATTCTGGGAGTTGAAGTCCACAAGTCATCAAAGGGCCAAGTTTGAAGACCCTTGTGCTCCAGTCATATCTTCAGAGGCTTCCTATAGTCCAGGAGGCCATGTCTAGTCTAAGCTCAGGAGGAATGATATTCCAGTGAGATTGTTGTGCTTACTGAAGCCGAAATTCCCACTTACTCTGTTCTGTTGCAGTCTCCCCATTGAAGCGGCCAAGCCATCTTCACCCACAAGTTGGACTCTATGGAGATGAGGACTTTGAGTGTAGTGCCTGGCATAGGAGTCCTCAGAAGTAGGGAACACATCATACCGGTCTGCAGGGGTCAGAGAGTGGCCTTTGTGGGCCGGCAATGCAACAGCGTAAGGGTTATTGGGAAGGCATTTGTTGGGGGCAATATCCACCCTTCCCATGGGGGTGTTGGCATGCATAATCCTAGGAGAGCTCATGATGGAGAGATCGTCACAGGAGGCAGCCTGTGCAACAGCTGATTGCGTAGGGCTCCGATGGACATCATGAGGGCTCCAGCGGGCATCCTGCGCATCTGATGGGTGAGTCCGTGGCAACTTGGGGGATTCAGCTGGGGCTAGTGGGAGGGAGTAGGCTCGAGAGGAACGCAGGGAAAGCACAGGGGAAGGCTGAGATATCCGGGATGGAGAAGGAGGAGGTGGGCTTTCCGATGAAGGCGGTAGCGGGGTCCGTGGCCGGGAAGAGAACTTAGTGCAACTAACAGGAGAAGGACATCCATGTGTCTGAGAAGACAGGGAACTGCCAAGATGAAGGAGAAGAGAAAGTCAATTGTGGTGATCCTTAAGAGCTTTGGAGAGCCAGAGTGGCCATCTGCTACTACATCCTTCCCACTCTTTACAGCAAGGATGTGTCCAACCTTGGCCCCTTTAAGACTGGTGGACTTCAACTCCCAGAATTCCCCAGCCAGCCATGCTGGCTGGGGAATTCTGGGAGTTGAAGTCCCCACCAGTCTTAAAGTGGCCAAGTTTGGACATCCCTCCTCTACAGCATCCATGAAGTGAATCTGGCTTTGCCTCTCCTTACCTCAGTTCTGGCTGCTCTTTCTTTTCATGGCAGTAGGTCCCGTTGAGCGAACTGGATAAAGAAGCCCTCTTAAGGCAAGGGGATCCCTTCTGGATGTCAGGCAGGTGGAGGCTCTCGGATGAAGAGGCCCGGGCCTCCTGGATCTCTGAGAGATGGGCAACTTCCAGCGACTCGGTGCTTTTGGCACAATCATCCTCAGGGAGCCGAATGTCCTCAAAGCTGGTGTGGGCAGACACTGAGTGGCTGTGGAGACCCCCTTGGTTGCTGAGGTGGAGGCATAAGAATTTTATTGTATTTATTTTATTGCTTTTTACAAATAACTCAAAGTAGCGAACAAATGCACCTCCTTCTCCTGTTTTCCCCACAACAAAAACCCCATGAGGTGTGTTAGGCTGAGCGTGAGCGGCTGGCCCATAGTCACCCAGCCAACTTTCGTGCCTAAGACAGGATTAGAACTCAGCCTCCTGATGATTGGCCCAAAGTCACCCAGTTGATTTTCTATACCATAAGGCAGGACTAGAACTCACAGACTCCTTGTGATTGTTGATTGGCCCAAAGTCTAGCTGCTTTTCTTGCCTAAGATGGGACTAGAACTCACTGTCTCCTGGTGATTGCCCCAAAGTCACCCAACTAGCTTTCATGCCTAAGGCAGGGCTAGAACTCACAGACTCCTGGTGATTGGCCCAAAGTCTAGCTGCTTTTCTTGCCTAAGGTGGGACTAGAACTCACTGTCTCCTGATGATTTCCCCAGTCACCCAGCTGGCTGTCATGCCTAAGGCGGGACTAGAACTCACATACTCCTGTGATTGGTAATTGGCCCAAAGTCTAGCTGCTTTTCTTGCCTAAGGTGGGACTAGAATTCATAGACTCCTGGTGATTGGTGATTGGCCCAAAGTCTAGCTGCTTTTCTTGCCTAAGGTGGGACTAGAATTCACAATCTCCTGGTGCTCCAAAGTCACCCAGCCAACTTTCATGCCTAAGACAGGACTAGAACTCACAGTCTCCTGGTTTCTAGTCTTGTGCCTTAAGCATTACACCAATAAATCCAAGTGACTGTTCCAGGTCTCCATAACATTGTCTGTTATTCCCAGTGTGAAATCCAGCTCCTCCCTCTTCAGCCAAATGCTGCCCTGTCTGACTAGCTCCATCAAGATGCCTTCCCAGTTCTTCCACAAGCACAACTTACAAATTCAGTTTTCTCATAAAATTCAGTCCTTGTGTTCTTCCACTATCTTTTTTTTCTTATCCAATTCTGACTTTAATAGCATTCACTCTCTTTTCATGGGATTATTCTTTCCGGAACTTTCTACGGTACATTATGTCCCATCTCCTTAGATCAGGGGTAGGCAACCTTGGCTCTTTTATGACTCGTGGACTTCAACTCCCAGAATTCCTGAGCCAGCCATGCTGAGGGAAAAGGGAGAAGTTTCCAAGCTGAGCCATGCTGGCTCAGGAATTCTGGGAATTGAAGTCCACAAGTCATAAAAGAGCCAAGGTTGCCTACCCCTACGCAAATTGGCAATGCATTCACAACTGGGCTGTGTGTCTGTCCCCATACCCAACCCTTACAGGTTTCCACAGTTGCACTCAGCCACAGATGACTGGTTCATGGCCCTGATCCAGCTATTCATATCCAACTGGGTCTCTGCACTGAAATAGTAAGTCCGCATGCCAGGGTGTTCAGCCTATGGGAAAAAAGAAAAAAAAGTTTCTTGTAATGGTTGGAGTCTCCACAAGAGGGCAGAAGATACACTTAGAACACCAGCAGAAAAGGAGAGTTGGAATTGTTGGTTTCCTATACCAGGGGTCCTCAGCTTTGGCAACTTTAAGACTTGTGGACTTCAACTCCCAGAATTCCTCAGCCAGCAAAGAATTCTGGGAGTTGAAGTCCACAAGTCTTAAAGTTGCCAAGGTTGGAGACTCCTGTCCTATACCATTCCTAGCAAATAACGTCACTTTGCTTTATAGTAGCTGGACTCTTGCTCATTTCGTTTTGTGGGGAGCTTCAAGATACTCTGTAGCAGTATTTCGCAACCTTGGCAACTTGAAGATATAAGGACTTCAACTCCCAAGATTCCCTAGCATGACTGGCTGGGAAATTCTGGGAGTTGAAGTCCACACATCTTCAAGCTGCCAAGGTTGAGAAACGCTGCTCTGTAGGACGGTTGCATGACTGCCTTAGCAAGGAGACACCCATTAGAGAAAGCTAGCCAACTATACTGGCAAAGCATTCTGGGCAGCCTCTTGTCTGAGATGCAGTGAAGGATAATGAGTGGGTTTGCATTCAATTTGTCACTGCCTGCCATCGAATGTGGCTGTTTCACTGTCCTAAAGGTAGGGTAGGAGCTTCAGTAAGCAATTCTAAAACCTTGCCAAAAATCCTGCAGGGACTTGTTTAGGCAGTAGTAGCCAGGAGTCAATGCTAACTCAGAGACACCAACAACAACAACAAAAAGGTCCTGAATTAGATTTGGTACCATTTGTACATCTTCCAATCTATGCATCTCGTGGTATTGACTAGGGCAGCGGTTCTCAACCTATGGATCGCGACCCCATTTGGGGTCGATCGACCATTTCACAGGGGTCGCCAAACAAGGCTGTCCGCCATTTTTTCCCCCCTTTTCCGGCGGGTGCCTAACCTCCCTTGGGCTGGGCCAGCTGGTGGCTCAGCCGGTGGTCAGCTTGCTCTGTCTCTGCTGCTTGCCAGCTGGCGCAGGGGGCGGCACCACGCATGCGTGGCGCTCCCAGGCAAAGTCTTCGACTTACGACAGGTTGGGTAATCCTTGACTTACGACCAGTTTAGTCCTCGACTTACGACCGGTTGGGGGGGGTCGCGGCATTATAAAGGTTGAGAACCACTGGAGTAGGGGGTTGGACTAGAAGATCACCAAGGTCCCTTCCAAACCTATTATTCTGTGTTGTGGTTCCTCTGCCTGAAAGTCTCTGTAGATCAGGGGTTCTCAACCTTGGCAACTTTAAGACTTGTGGACTTCAACTCCCAGAATTCCTCAGCCAGCAAAGTCCACAAGTCTTAAAGTTGCCAAGGTTGAGAACCCCTGCTGTAGATCAACTGCTAGCAGGCAGAGCAAGAAATCCTAGTTGATGCAGCTTTTAAACTAGGTTAAGTGAAGCACTGTTTTGCTAGAAGCTGGATGCACCATGCCCTTGAGTTCCTTGATGAGGAAAAAAAGCAGGCTCAAAGATTCTAAATCAATATATTATACAGTTAGTCCTCAACTTACAACTAGAAATGAGCCTGGGATTTTGATTAAAAATCATTGTGGTCATTAAGCGGGTCAACAAATGACTTGATTTTTATGACCCCTTTTATGATGATTCATAAAGCAAACTCACAAGGTCGTTAGACAAAACCTCCATGGTCATTAAGCAATCCAGTGTATTCAACAGGTGGCTTTTGCCATTTTCTGCTGGAAAACGTGAGCCAGCTGCCAATCACCCAAAATGCAATCAGGTGACTGGGGGGGAGGGGTAATAGCATTTGTATCTTCAAAGTCCTAAGTAGCTTTTTTGAAGTCTGTCATAATTTTGCCCTGTGGTTAAGTGAACGTTCATTAAGTCGAAGATCACCTGTATTAGATAGATGAGCCAACAATGGAGGCAAATAGCTTCCCATACGGTATTCACCACATATAGACCTTGCTGCTTAAAGCTGAGGTAATGGTCAGACTCTATGGTGGTGACCATGGATAAATTAAAAGAAATCCCATCATCACAGGAGGGACAAAAGCATAAATGAGGGTCCTTCTTCCTGACCTTGAATACAAAGCGGCGGTTCTTCTTCTCCTTGGAGAAAGCTGTCCGAATCTCGTAGCTGGGGAGAAGGATACTGCCCAAAACCATCTCTTCACGGCTGTCTAGAACACACCCCACAAAACCCCACAGAAAAAAGCTTGTCAGGGTTCCGGCTCAAAGCAGATGGGGAGAAAACTCCTCATTTCCCACCAACACGACTGTTTCAAGGAACTGGCTTACGCTTACAGCAGTGCTTCTCAACTTCAAACCGTCACTAAATGAACAGTCGTCAGGCGAGAACTACCTGCATTTCTTTTTTTAAACTTCTGTTCCTAGTACTTAGGAATTGTTGCCTTTGATTTCTGCCTGTTGATGCATCGCCATACTTGGCCCTCAAAACAGGCCTACCGGTGGGGGGATTCAAATATGTGAACAACCGGTTCTCTGTGTGGATGCCGCTTCCGGAACTCCGTTCTGGGCCTGGGCAACAAAAATTAGCTACCGGTTCTGCCAAAGTGGTGCGAACCGGCTGAATCCCACCACTGGTCCTGCCTCCAAATAATTTGCTTCCTCCTTAAGGAAACTGAAACAGAAACTCAAGAAAATCCAAATTACCTCGGTAGTAGAAGAGGCAGTAATTGGAAAGGACAAACCAGCGTCGTTTCCACAGTTTGAGCCCAGAGCTATCCTGAAAGAAACAAAAAGAAAAGGTGGTGGGTTAGTCCCATGCCGTGTCAGAAGTTTTACCTAGGTAGAACAGGATTCCCTGATTTTTAACTCTTTGTAGGGCCCAGGTATGCTAGAGTTCTGCAATGATATCAAGCGATTTGGGGCCATTTCACACCCATGATCAGAATCTTTCATTTTTTTCCTGGGGTTTTAAAAGGGAACTGTGAAGAATTGTTTCATTTTCACATGATGCTAAACCCAATTTAAAACTGGCTACAATTTTAGCGTGTTTCCAAACTCAAGCTAGCAAGAAAAGAACAGTTCAGCAATAGTACCAGTAGTCCCCATCTCACAACCATTTGTTTAGTAACCGTTTGAAGTTACAATGGCCCTGAACAAAGTGACTTATCACTATTTTTCACCCTTACGACCGTTGTAGCTTCCCCACAGACATGTGATCAAAATTCAGATGCTTGGCAATTGGTGTGTATTTACGGTAGGGCAGTTCTGTGTCCCGAGGTCATACAACCACCTTTTGCAACCTTGTGATAAGCAAAGTCAATGGGGAAGTCAGATTCACTTATTGTGTTAACTTAACAACTGCAACTATTCGCTTAACAAGTGTGGCAAGAACGGTCGTAAAATGGAGCATAGCTCGCTTAATAACTGTCTTGCTTAGCAACAGAAATTTTGGACTCAACTGCGGTCATAAGTCAAAGAGTGCCTGGATTCAATTTCATGAAAGCTTACCCTTTGAAATAAAAATCGCTTAGTCTTAAAAGGTGCCATCAGATTCCATCTGATTTTGGGCTCCTTAGATTAACATGGTGTCTTTCCCACAGCTCTCCCTTAAGGTCCATCCTCCCTCCAGCTAAGAAATTTCCTGCATTTCTCAGAAACCATTTACCTGCTTATAAAGCCAGCCACGCAATACAACGGGAGAGTTAGGATCTCTCTTGATAGAGTTTGCTCTCTTCCCAAATGTGTGCACTTTCCGGACCGGCCGGGCTACATGTGGCTATAGGAGAAACAAATGGATAAATACAAAATAAACTTACTATATTAACGAGTAGCTATCCATCTATTTAGCTCAGCATTACTATCTTAAACAATCCTCCAGAACTATTTTCAAACCAAGAGTCCTAGTTAAAAAGCTAAGAACTGAATCAAAATCCACTCTATGAAGAAAACCATGTCTCTGTCTGTGATCCATAGCAGGAAAGAAAGAGAGGTGTTTTTGCGGCTTTCAAGGAATTTAAAATCTCTGAGTTAGAGATACCTTATTTCTCTGAAAATAAGACCTAACCAGAAAATAAGACCTACCATGATTTTTCAGGAGGCTCACCCAAAAAACATGCCCCAGTTAAGATCGTCAGCCAGATGGACACATTTAGTACACCCGCTGCAACACACAATGGATGTATTGAATTATAAAATAATTATATTTATAATTAAATATAAATAAATAATATTATTGACATTATTTATTTGAATAAATGTAGATTGTTGTACATGAAAAAATAAGACATTGCCTTATGAATCTTTTGGAGCAAAAGTAATATAAGACCTGGTCTTATTTTCAGGGAAATACGGTAAGAAGAAAGAGATGTATTAACAATGTATTCGAGGTCCAGGTGAAAAAGATCTGAGAAGATATGTGGTCTGTTATGAAGAATAAATCTGACAAAAGAAGTGAAAATAATGTGCATCTATACCAGAGGTAGGCAACCTTGGCTCTTTTGTGACTCGTGGACTTCAATTCTCAGAATTCCTGAGCCAGCATGGCTCAGCATGGAAACCTTTCCCTTTCCCCTCAGCATGGCTGGCTCAGGAATTCTAGAAGTTGAAGTCCACGAGTCATAAAAGAGCCAAGGTTGCCTACCCCTGATCTATACACTCAGTTCTACCGAAGTGAGAGTTGGGTGAATTAGGAGATATTCAAACATAAATTGCAACAGTGGAATATGGTAAAATCAACAGAATGGATGAGTGAGTGGACTAGATATAGTCCTTGTCGTACAACAGTTTGCTTAGTGACAGTTCAAAGTTACAATGGCACCGAAAAAAAGTGAGTTATGACCATTTTTCACACTTATGACCGGTGCAGCATCCCCGTGGTCACATGATTTACATTCGGATACTTGATAACTGACTCACATTTATGATGGCTGCAACATCCCGGAGTCATGTGATCCCCTTTTGCTACCTTCTGATAAGCAATGTCCATGTGGAAGCCAGATTCACTTAACAACTATGTTATTAATTTAACAACAGCAGTGATTCACTTAACAACTGTAGCAAGAAAAGTCGTAAATGGGGCAAAATTGACTTAACAAACTTCTCACTTAGCAACATAAATTTTGGGCTGAATTGTGATTGTACATTGAGGACTGCCTAGAATGTAAATGAATGAAAATGAACTGAAAATAAAAGTGAAACATTGTAGGAAACATCAAGGAAGTTGGCCATATACAAAGAACAAATGAGAACTGTATCAGAAAACTTTCTTTTTCCTTTCTGGTGTTTTCCCACAGGTATAAGGTGTGCTTTTCGGATCAAATGTTGATCCATCAGTTGCGACCATTAATTGCAAAAAAAATGAATGGATCAAAAGGAAGTGGAAGAAAATAAGTTTTGATTGGATGAAATTGATGAGATCTTCAAAAGGAGAAGTTCAAAGAATAAAAGGAAACCTACAAATTTATGGATGGACTTGAGGGATATAGTCTAAACCTGCTGTTTTTTTTATTTTGCTGTCCTTCATTTCTTGCCTTCATTGTTTTTTACGTTCTACTTTTAACTCTCTTTTTTTTGTGCTTTGTATAATGTTGCTTAGCCCCAAAGGGAGTGTCCTGTTTTTCATAGTAAGCAATGGATGTTTTAATTGCTATTAATGTATCATAAGGTTTAAATAAGATTTTTAAACCATTACAATTTTATCTAGGTGCATAAGAGACTATTATATTGTGGCTTTATGCCTTGAAAAGTGCTTTATCTTTCTAAGGAACTAAAGGTCACAAGCTAAGATTTTCTTTTCAAACCATCAAGATACCACCAATGGCTAATGTAGGCATATAAGGACAAGAATAAATACCGTAAATGCCGGCGTATAAGACGACTTCCGCGAGCACTGAAATCGGTGCCAAAGACGGGGGTCGTCTTATACGCCGAGTCGTCTTATACGCCGGAAATACTAGTAGTTTCCGGCGTATAAGACGACGTTCTAGGAATGCGGCCCGGCTATAAAGACAGGGGTCGTCTTATACGCCGGGTCGCCTAATACGCTGGCATATACGGTATTTGAGGATTAGAAATTGTTATGCAATTTTTTTAGCTTTCCTTCTTTCTTGGAATAGGATTCTAGTGTTGTTCTTTTAAAAAGCACAAGTGTTTGACCCAAGAGATAATCAATTACTTTGAAGTTCTTTGAAAATAAGACTGAGCAACAGCCCAACAACACTCAGAAAAAACAAATATAGGTAAAAGAAATGATGGGCGACTCATTTTTATGTCTCATTTGTCAGGTTCTCATCAATTCCAGGTCCTCACCTTTGTTCCCATCGAGACTGAAGAGATGGTGACTGTACTGCTGGCTAAACTCAGACCACTTTTAGGTCTATCCCCTTCTGACATTGTCCCTGGTGAATTTGATGTTAATCTGCAAAAAAACCAAACAGATTATATTATAAATGGGATGCTTTAGAGTAGTGTTTCTCAGCCATGGCAACTTGAGGAAATGTGGGCTTCAACTCCCATAATTCCTCAGCCAGCCAGCCATATTGATTGAGGAATTCTGGGAGTTGAAGTCCACACATCTTCAAGTTGCCAAGGCTGAGAAACACTACTTTAGGGCAGAGATCCCCAACACCCACTCTGTGGACCAGTACCGGGCAGTAGCATGCCAGCAACTGGTCTGCACAAAGAAGCAAAGCCCCATCTGCAAGATGCAGGCAGCACACAAAACTACGCACCCTCTGGTCCACGGAAAAACCTCTCTCCACGGAACCAGTCCCTGGTGCCCAAAAGATTGGGGAGCTCTGCTTTAGGGGGAACTCACAAGTACAAGACTACCAATTTGAAACAATCTGTTTTTGAGAAATACAGAGCATATGTCTTCAGCTTTTCAAAAGGTATCAAAAGTAACCATCCCTGGAGGTTTTCAAGAATGGTGTAAGGTCTCCTGCCCAAAAAGGGGGTTGGACTAGAAGACCTCCAAGATCCCTTCCAACCTTGTTATTGTATGCAATTCTAACCCTAACCAATCAATTGGTGAATTCATATTTGGTCAGGTCTTTAATCTTTACCTATCACACTTCCTTTTCCTTCCTCATTTCTTTTTCCATCTCTTAACAAAAATGCATTTAGTCTCTGTCTAGGATAATATATTATTCTAATCCAGGTTTATCAAACAAGCCACAGTGGCCTTGTAAATGAAAGTTCCAAATTTGCAAAAGAATTTATTGGCCAACTGGGATCAGACAGAAGAGAGATTTAAAGCTCAGGGTTTCTAGCTGGAAGTCTGTAATGAATGAGAATTTTTTATTCTAATTTCAGACCACAAATGGAAGACAACAACCTTTTTCCATCAGCCTGATCATTGATCTGCCCAGAACTCTTCTGTCACCTATGGCAACCAGATAATGCTTAAATACAAAACTGGCTTATGATATCTGTAATCAGAATTTCGTCATCTTGAATTCCACCCAAAATCCAATGCATGACATGGAATTTGGATTCCTGAACATATCAGCATTTTTGTTTCTATTGTTTCTGGGTTTTTTTTTAAAACTGCAAGTTAAATTATTCCTATTTTTAAAGGAATGAGTCATTGTTCTAGTTATTCCTTTTATTAGCCATTTTTCAAAAATCCAAAAGATATGCATATTCAGTACATGAATATAATGTTACCCTTCATATTGGTGGATTTTTTTCTTTGTAGAAAATATGCAGGCCAGATTTGTTAAGATATTTTGTTGTCAGGACATTTCATTAACAAAGCCTTTGCCGGGCTTTAGTAGCAGTGAAGTTTTGTTTTGTTTTTTAAAAAAATCTGTTAAGCATAACACAGAGAATAGGAAAAATATTGTGCCCTGCTAAGTCTTTATTTCTACCTCACAAACCCAGCATCCTACAAACCTGTCAAATCCACCCCTTCCTCTCAATTTATGAATCATTTTCTTCACATTTACAGCCTAATCTTCAGGAAACAAAAAAAAAAAAAGCATTCCTCCTATGATCAACCTTATGTACAATCTGTATTAACCTACTGTGTTCCCTTCCCTACTTTAAGCCAGAGCAAAATTTGAAAAAAGGGGGGGAGGGGCACAGAATTCAAAGTTCTTACAGGGCAGAAGCAGAAAGGCTTACAAACAATCCAGCCTGCTTTAATTAAAATCCTTTCGTTCATTCCTGCATCTACACATTTACTATGAGATTTTTACATGCCCCATTGATCTTTTCTCCTTCTTTTAAATGGAGCCAAAACTCAAAATGGAAGTATTGAAACTAGAAAAGTTACCCTTCTGTTTGGCCCTTAGCCATTAACTCCCTTCAGTTATTTTTGGATCAAACCCACCTGCTTGTGTCTGGCATCCCTTTCCAGATAGCATCGACTTGGAGATGGGAAATTCCATCCCCTTTGCTGCCAGAAGGGTTCTGCGGTTACTTGTCCCCTTTGTTGTTAAAACCCAGAACCTCCACATTTCTAAATATCTGAGATTTTAACTCTCGCAGGCCACTTTTGATTCACGCTTAAGTGGCATTCTGAGCTTCCTGCTTCTCAGTTACCGATGATAACTCTTTGTTATGGTTGATTTCCATGCATAATTCGTATTTGTCAAGCGCAAGCATGATTTGACACCCTACAGGTCTACCATGCTGCAATTAGAATAATTTTCAAATACCACGGCTTCTATTTTACAGGAATGCTGTTGCTGCAAATTATACCTTCATGTTTAAAAAACTTTAATTATTTGTGGATCCCTAAGCGGTCAATGGAGTACCACATGTGTCCTCCCCAAACTGCTATTGAAATGTAAGTTTTAATGTGAAAGAAAGAAGCATTAAATAGATGGGAAGTAATCTAATATTAAAATAATTTATTTTTTAAATTACATTAATATTTAAATCAAATTTTTGCAAAACTCAAAACTTTGTCCTGTCCTGCCCAATTTTTGGAGCCCTCCATCCATGGATGCCAAAAGCAGCCTTTGCCCATCCCTCAAAAAGTATCACAGCTCTAATGTATACTATCAAATATGCTAAAACAATCCTGTAAAATCCTGTACAATTATAGTACAAGTAGTCCTCAATTTACAATAGTTCATTTAGTAACTGCTCAAAGTTACACATTGAAAAAAGTGAGTTATGACCATTTTTCACTCTTACAACTGTTGCAGCATCCCCGTGGTCACATGATCAAAATTCAGACACTTGGCAACTGACTCATACTTATGACAGTTGCAGTTTCTCGCGGTCACGTGATTATCTTCTGCGAACGTCTGACAAGTAAAGACAATGGGGAAGCCAGATTCACTTAGCAACTGTGTCACTACGATAATTTAACAACTGTAATGATTCGGTTAACAACTGTGGCAGGAAAGTGGAGCAAAATTCACTTAACAAATGTCTCACTCAGCAAAAAAAAAATTGGGGCTCACTTGTGGTTATTAAGTTGAGGACTAGCTGTATTTCCATACAACCATTCAAAAAATCAATTTCACACAGTAGTTCTACTTCAGTGAGCACAACTGGGTTAATCATTAAGAAAAGCAGTAAGATCGGGACTGTGCTTATGACCTTCAGTTTTACAAACCTGCCAAGATAGTAAATGGAGCACTGGTCATAAAGTTACATTTTCATTACCACCGTAACTGCGAAGGGTCGCTAAATGAAATGGTTTCTAAACGAGGATTACCTTATCAAGCATTGGGAGAAAAGACCTGGGCAAAGAGATAAGGGTTTAAAACAAACTTGAATGGTTGTTAAGTCGAGGACTACATGTAAACCAATGGGAATTTGCCATCCGCCATAACAAGACAAAGAAGATAACGCAGCATTTTGTAGAAAACCTCTTCCCAACCAGCCCTGGGTAGCAACACATTTTGTCTCATGATCCCCAACCAAAGAGCACCTCCATAACTCCTGGCACACGTTGCCTTTGCATTCCATCTTTCCCTCCCACCTCTTACCCTGGTTATGACGCCAAGTGGATGAATGGAGCATTGATTCAGGAAGGACCCCCCTACCCCGCCTTGATCCTGAACTGCAAGGGAGCACTGAAGGCCCTTATTCAAACACCCACACTGAGTTTGAGGAACGTCATGTTACTGCCTTCGCCCGGAGCCATAGGGAAAGATGGAATACTTAGTATGGGGGCAATAAGACACAATGAGGGAACTGGCAAAGAGCAGCTTGACCTTCCCCATAATCATGGGAGTGAAGAAGAACCGTCTTCACAAATGCAGTACATGCTGTAAAATGCAACATGTGGCTAGGTTGCTTCCAAGCTTGGTGTTTAGGGCCATAAAGTTTAGCATAAGCTTTATTGCAGTGATGTACAGTGGCTCTTCCCCATGCTTTAATTTTTAACATGCTAATTTGCACAGCTCACTACTTAGAACAGTACATCATGCTAAGCTATGATTTGCTTTCAATTATGCTTTAATGGTTGGTTCACACTTGATATTAAGTTAAATGGCTGACTCGCATATAACAAAAACCTACGGTATCACACTTTGGCTCAATGCAACATGTGAATCTAATCAGAAGCTCGTACAGTCAGTCATCTGCTTGTTTCCAAATTCAAAAATTTCAAGATTGCCAACTGACAATGCAAGAAAATATACCAGTTAATGGCAACAGGTTATACTTTTGGAGGAGTCAAAAATAAGGAAAAAAGCCAACTTTGGTGATGATACATGATCCCAGATTGTAATTGGTGAAGATAGGATACCGTTTTGAATTTATATCCATCAAATTTAATATTACTCATCTAAGGCTCTAAAAGATGTCAGAACTCCAATTCCCAACATTCCCAGCCCAATCCTAAAATGTTTAGCACACACCCAGGCCTTCAGGATTTAGGGCAAACCCTACCACTAAGCCAATGTTTCCCAAGCTCGATGGCTTTAATATGTGGACTTCAGCTCTCAGAATTCCTTAGTACTGTATAAAATGCTTCCTGGAGAATTCTGGGAATTGAAGTCCATTCATCTTAAAGTTTCTGAAGTGAGGAAATGATGCACTAAGCAAAATGAGACAGAAGGTGGGAGAATATATGTCACATGGAATGACCCATGTCTCTTAAACTTGTTTTCTCCTTTCACATGTAGCTCAGGATACAGTTCTATTAAAGGGAGATTCAACTGCCAAATCAGTCGAATTCTGAACCTGTTTTGCAGCATCAGAGGCCAGAAAGAGAGGGGACAGTTACCATATTGGTTATTGAGGAAAAGTATCTAAGCTAATCTGTTCTATCTCTACAGACTTTCTAGGCTTTCCAGAAGACTGAACTGAGTTCAAAGATTGAACTCTCCTGCTTGAAATAATGTGTTCCACCACAGAGATCCAGTCAAGATGGGAGAAAGCATGCAGTTCTCTCTCACTTCCTTTTGTAGAATTAGTAAAAATTATTTAAGAACTTAGTATGAGGAACAG